CCAACTTTGTTCTTCTTCAAGATTGTCTTTACTGTTCCTGCTTTTAGTAATTTCCACAGAAATTGTAGAATTGTTAATTTCTTTTTTTAAAAATGCTCTTAGGGTTTTGATAGGTATTACACTGAATCTAACATAAATTTGGGGAGAACGGAAATCCTGCTCTACTGAGTAATTTATTCTATGTACATCTTCATTTATTTAGATCTTTAATTTTCTCTGCTTTGTATGGGTTTTATACTTCTTTTGTAAGACTTGCCCCAAGGATTTCATATTTCTATGCTATTTTAATGGTTTTTATTTTTCATTTTTATTTTCTAATTGTTTGTTACAGGTTTAGGGAAGTACAGTTAATTTTTAAATAGTAACCTTATTAGATTTATTTCCTTACTATAAGATTTTATCTGTAAATTCTTTTGAATTTCCCTCAACACAGCCATGTCTCTGCAAAATAATAACTTTTTCCCTTTTCAGTCATCATACCTTTTTCTCTTCCTGTGAGCCTTTTTATTCTTGACTCAAATTCATACTTTTTATCCCCTTTTGATGAGTCTGTGATATTCTGCTTTATTCAAAGAAATCAGTAAAAATTTCTGCAATGAGTTTTCCATGAAAATGTTGGGACATAAATGATTTCCTTAGACTCAGGGTTTTATAATCTCCATTTCTTTTTCTGTATAATTCTTTGATTGAGGGACTCAGGCTAAATCCATTGGTGGACCTACTCTTTTTAAATTGGTTCCTTATCTTGTGATAACTTGCACTGAGAATATATTACCAGAAAAGCTGGAAGACTGCTTATTGGACAGAATTTAGGAATCTGCAGTTCTCTTATTTGTTGTTGATGGTGTTGTTGTTTCTGAAATCTGAAAGTTCAATGAATTTGTCCTAAACATGATTCCAGAACTGAATCTGGGTCTATAAATACAGATCCTTTTTAATAATATATTTTAATAATATTAAAACATGAAATATGGTGTTGAAAGTATTTGGTGCACTGATAAAGTTCCCTGTTGGGGGGGCGGGCAGTGTCTGGATGTTTAAAGCAACAGTTTGATTGAATAGAACAATAAATGCAGAGCTGAATGTATTTTTTTTCTCTCTTTCTTTCTCATCTACTAGAAAAATATAGATAATAGAGCTCATTTATTTCCTTAACATTTCAGAGCTCCGCAGATGGGAAAACAACCCAGTGGAAATGATTTCTGGCAACCTTGAGAAGATATGTTAGCATTTTGTGGCATTTCTCTCAGTGACATGTAAAGCATGGCTTTCCCTCATTGCAGTGTCACAGTGAAGTGTCACAATAAAGCCAAAATAGTGTGCCCTCAGGGAAAACTCAGAAAAGGGACCATTTTCCATGCACACACAAAGGGTAATATTTATTATGAAGCCTTTCATTTTAGCTCCAAATGCTGCCTGGGCTGTGAGTACTTTGCAAAGGAGAAATGTACAGAATGTGAGATTTAATGCACATGCTATGTGTAAATCTGAAGTAATTTATGTAAATATAAATAATATGTAAAAAGGTATAATGCACTTAGAGACATACATGCAATCATACTCTTCAGTGGGCCAGGTGAAGCTGCAGAGCAACAGCATGAGGCAGTGTTGATGGAGTCCAGGGAGCACTGGGCCGGGAGTCAGATGGATCCATCTTTACCTCTTTTTTTGTCACTGTCAACACAGATACTATCTCCTTTATCCTCAAACACGTGATATAGAAATTATCGTCTCCATTCACTAGAGGAGAAATTTGATGTTCGAACAGATTCAACTGATGTTGCAGATTACATGGGTTAGGATTATTGAAGATATTTCAGATGTTCTTAGTATCAAATACCATGATTTATTTTAAGCCAAACTTGTACTTTTAATAAAACCTTATCTATTCCTTCATCTTACATTTGCACAATTATTATTCTGACATAAATATTGAGCCCAGTTTTTATTTCCGTTAAAAATCATCTTGCTAGGTATGAGGTGCACATGATTGACTAAGGCAGGAGGATTGCAAATTTGAAGCCAGTCTCAACAACTTATTGAAACCCTATCTCAAAATGAAAAGCAAAAATGACCAGAGATCTAGCTCAGTAGTAAAGTACCCCGGAGTTCAATTTTCAGTATCCTTGTCCCCCAAAAATCATCTCATCAGGGTCAGCTACTTTTTCCATCCATTTAAGGAATTGTTGTTTTTTGTTTTTTTCCTTTTATTGATGCACTGTAAATATACATAAGAGTGGGATTTGTTGTTACATATTTGTATTCACACACATTACTACTATAAGGGGATTCTTTCTTTCTTTTTATTTATTTATTTATTTATTACTGGGGCGGGGGACTGAGCCCAGGACACTTTACCACTGAACTGCATCCACTGTCCTTTTTATGTTGAGACAGGAACCAGCTAAGCTGCTGAGGGTCTTGCTAACATGCTGAGACTGGCTTTGAACTTGACCATATTCCTCTGCCTCTCAAGTTGCAGGGATTACAGGTGTGCCCTACTGCACCCAGCTAAGGGGATTCTTAATTCGTTTTGCAATATGTTTTTTCATTGCTGCAACTCAATAAAATCTTCAGATTGTGTAATTGTCTTGTATTTCTACACCCAAATCAGTGGGCAAGGCCTTGAGGTGAGTGCCTTCCTTTTCATTAGACAGGTCACTGTTTTATCCAGGTTCTAATTCAATGAATTCTCAAATGCATTCAGAATTTGCCCAAAATCTGTTTTCCCAATTAAGCAGCATTAGAGAGGCAACATCAGTTTTGGAGACCAGTAGACTTGGGTTCAAATATCAGCTTCATCAATTACTAAGTTATTTGATGATGGAAATAATATGTATCCTTATAAATAATATTTACAACATGTGAATATTATCATCTATTATTACCTTGCAAGGATCAGGTAGTCCAATCATTAAAGAAAGAAATGATATTTTCTCCTGACTGACCAGTCCTTCTTAACCATCCCCACTATGCCTCTCTCATGAATGAATGCTTCCTGATGCCAACAAATCTCCTCCTCCCCTCCTCACCCTACTCCTCCTCCTTCTTCATTGTCTTAAATTTTATTGTGGTAAGAACATTTAACATCATATCTACCCTGTTAACATGTTTTAAGTGTGTAATACACATTGTTGTTACCATCCGTATGATGTTACACAGCATATCTATAGAATTTATTCATCTTGTTTGATTGAAATTTTATGCCTATTGATTCTCCTCATTTCCCCCTTCGCTCAGCCTCTAGCAACCACTATTTCATTCTTTGATTCTATGAATTTGACTATTTTGTATTCCTCATATAAGTGGAAATATGGATTTTTTTCTTCTGTGTCTAGCTTATTTCACTGAATTTATTATTAAATTTTCATGTACGTAAAAAAACTTTTCTTCTGGATGAGTAACCTTACCTTATCCCTGCCCCTTCTCCTTAAAAAGCGAGTCTCTGTTGACCAGAAAGGCAGGTGTGGGGTAGTTCTGTTTGTCTGTTCCCACTCTCCACTGTAACTATGTGGTGGAGACCCCCATGTTTTCCTTCACAGGTCAGCAGACTCAGTCATGCCCATCTCTATTCTCTGCCAAGTAGTCTTACATAGTATTTTTGGCTCTCACAGTTATCTGGTTATATCCTCTTTTGCTCCATCTTCAAGAGCACTTAAATTCTAGTCACTTTAAATTTGGGTTTGAGAGATTTTGTGAAGGCACATTAGTTTATTTAGGGAACTCACTCATTTCTTCCTTCAGAATAATTTTTAATTTTCCAATTTTTCATCTTTTTTTTGAAAGATTTCTGACTCTTGAATTATCTCTGCTTCCAGCATCATTTTCTTTTTTTTCTGAGAAACAATGACATTTTTCCTTCCCTTAGATGTTTTTGCATCTGTTCTTCTATATTCAAGAATTCATATGCAACCATAACCAAATTGTTTTCATGAACAAACCATCATTTTGCACTGACATTTATGCAAGATCAGTTTAAGGTCTTTGACTGGTTAGTAATATTGCTGAGAATTCAATCATCTTTTAGAGATGGAGTTAGTAATATTACCCTGAGTCCAAGATTCTTTCCTCTGGATCTTTTCATCTAAAGCTTCTGCATTTTTCTTTGGAAAGCATTTAATAAATATCTCTCATAGACTTACTGTTGGCTAAACTCTCTAGTCTTCAAGGATCTTGCCAAGAAAATGTTTGTCTTAACTTCATACGTAGAGTGGTCTGCATTTCCTGGCTATATGTAGGAAATCTGTGTTGAAAGGGCCACCCCCTCAGGCGCATTTCCAAATAAAACCATGTGAGAACAGAAATAAGGATAAACTGTTGTCCATTTTTGTGAAATCCTATCTTATTTCTCTTCTTTTTATTTGTTTGTTCTGTGTGCCAAATGGATGAGAATCAAAAGGCAGAATGTTGTGTAGCATCTTTTCACTTTGTGTGTGTGTACAGGGGTGGGGGGGAAAGACTGGGAGTGGATTGATTGATTAAATGTTCATAGCTTGTCCCCTCGTTCAATGGCCCCTTCATTCAAGTCCTTGCCCAAGACCTGTGGCATCTCCAGTCCTGGCCACAACTGTGGAAGAGATAAGCAGTTTCAGTGGCAAATAACTATTTGAAAAACCTTGTGATTTATCCATACTGGATGCATATTTTGTATCTGGTAGTATATTTTTCACATTAGCTGTTTCTTAGGATTAGCAAACCAGTGCAAATCTTGTTTCATCCCTCTCTGGGTATTTAGTGTCGCGCCAAGCAAAGCACAGATTAACATATGCTTACTTAGGATTAAGGATGATTTTTAAAAAAAAAAAAAAATCTTCTGATAGACAGTAAAATAGAATACACACAGTTCAAGGGATTCCACGGATGGGCTGTTTATGCAGTGCCAATAGCTAACCCTAAACCTCCAGTCCCAACTTTCCAAAGGCTTTGGGTAAAGCCAGATTCCAAATACCAGCAAATGCTCTTTTACCATGTTCTTAATTTGCCCCACTCACTACAGTGTTGCATATGATTGCTCCATGGCGAAGAAGAGAAGGGCTGAAGAGCAGGCTTTGGGTGTCCCAGTCAACAAAAGGAAATCCCTGCTAATGAAGCCCCGACACTACAGCCCAAACATGGACTGCAAAGGGGACCGAGACGACAGGACCGAGGATGATGGCCTCTCTGAAACAAACGACCGCGCTGCTGCAGGTAGCGAGGGACAGTGGCCCTGATTTTATCTACTCCTTGGTGTCAAAGATTCAGTCTTAATTTATGTAGAAATTATGGTTGGTATGGTGTAAAAGTATACTTGGCATTTGGAAGAAAAACCAAACATTGATTTCATTCACTACTCACCTCTTGAGGATCCATTTTTCAATTAGTATCTATAGGGAGGGTTTGTAGATAAACAGCATAGTCCTTGCCCTGAATTCCTTCAAAAGCACTGGACTGGGCTATGACACTTTTTGAGGAAAATAAAAGCCTTAAAGGTGAAGAGTATTTCATGTATGTAATATTGTAAGTATCTAATTGCTGAAAGACTCCTTCAAATTACAGGGCTTATTTAAGCCTTAAAATACCTTTCAATGCTCAAATTCTCTATAATGTTCATTGTTGATTATCATTAATGATTATTGTGTGTGTATGTATATACACACACATATATATATAGCTGAACATTTATTTTTACTTATTTATCAACATATATAGTCACATATAGTATTATTTAGAGCCCAAAATATAATTAGTTGTTGGCAACAACAACATAGACCAAGGCAGGTGGTTTGTGACCTTAATATTTTTCATATTTTTGAATAAATATTTATAGCAATAGACTGTAGAAATAACCTGAAGTTATCTCCTAGAAGCTCCTTCAGTAAGAAAATTATATAGAAAATGTATCACCGTGCCCATTATTTCCAAAATAAATCATTTAAATTTACCTTTAGGTACACATCATAATTCATGAATTTGATTCTTAACTCTCCTTAAACACCCTTTGCATGCTAAGTGAAATGTGATTATTTTGACGCTTTAGAATTTCTTTCTCCCCAGTTCATAGCTATTCTCACTGGTCTCGTGAGTGCACATGCCTGTAGGAGTTGGAAAATCACGGATGGCTTTGTGCATGAGACTGAAACTGAGGACATGCAGAAGTCTCAAAAAATTATGAAAAAGCAAATTCAGAGCTAAGGCTTAACTTAGTAAGAGATGAAATGAGGTATCTGCATGTTCTAATAATTCTGAACATGACTTTTATGGAATCAAAATATACTAAATAATTCTTTATTTGAAAAGAAATTATTATACAAACAAAAGGGCTTAATTTATTAGATCATAATTATTTATTATAAATAGAGTTATAGCTATTAATTTAAAAGATATAAAAGTATATTGACTGAACACAAATCTCAGGTCAGATTTATCCTATCTTGACTATGTTAGCTTAGAAGCAGTTGAAGATGCTGTGTTTAAAACAAAGTTGATTCTGGTGCAGTAAATCGTCTAGCTTTTCTGTATTTGGTAGATGGTATATATGTATGTATGTATATATGTATTTACTGGATACTGAGGACTGAACACAGGATCACTGTAACACTGAGCTACATCCCTAGCCCTTTTTACATTTTAAGACAGGACTTCACTAAATTTCTGAGGTTGGCCTAAAAAAGGTTGATCCTTCTGCCTCAACCTTCCAAGTTTCTGGGATTGCAAATGTCCAATATAGTTTAAAGACTCAGGGCTCATCTATAATTTATAATCATTCTCCACATTTTTAAAATTTCCTTGAGATGGTCAGTTTTACTTGTTGATTCATGAAAATTACAGGTTGGGTCTAGTTTTAGGGAAAGTCATTGAATCACTGCAAATAGAGTTGAGGTTCAACTCACCTAGCTAGCCAAATATTAGTCAAATATTAGCCAAATATTTAAGAAAATGAGTCTGATTTTGCATCAAATACCCTTAATAAGTCAATGAGGCCAAAGACTGTGTCTAGCTTGCTGTCTTCTCACCTTCTACTATAGCTATTGATCATCATAGATGCTTAACATTAGCCAAGTGAATATATTGCTCAAATGTATTTAGTTAAGCATTCAGTTATATGCACTACAGAATGTCTATCTGCAGGTTTACAAATGCTAAGTATTTTGATTTTTAGTATTAAAACTACTTCTGATGATAATGAATATACTGAAATTGCAGCATTAGTGACCATTATTTTTTAGTTTTTCATATATTCCAGGCATACAAATTATATCACTTAATCCTTACTACAGTGCCACAAAGATATATAATTATGGTCACAGTTTTACAGACGAGATCACTGGGAATCAAAGAGATTCAATGCTGAAGGTAACACAGCTTATATATATTAGAAATAAAATAATTAGGAAACCATTGGAAGGACAAGCAAAATAATTATTTTCCAGTTAACCATGCTCTGTAATCCAATGCTCCCTTTCCTCTGATACTTTCAGAATGCTGACAGGCAAAGCTTGACAATGTCAAATCATTAAGGGTTGTTCCTATCCCTGGTAAACAGAGCAAAGATTCTAAGTTGCTTCAACCCTCTTCAACCCTCTGCACAAGTTACCCCTACCCGCCAGAAGGAACCAGAGCTAATCTAGTGGCCAATCTAGCAGAAGTGTTTTCCTTCTAGCTTCTCATTTACTCTGGGTACTCCAGTATCTTTACCTGGCCAGATGTGTGCCAAATTTTATCCTCAGCTGGGACATTCATAATGAGGGTATACAGTGCTCATGAAGGCTAAGGTCATTTATAAACATCTTCTTCCATCTTATGACACAAACTATATTCCATATTCTCAACTAGCTGTCTCAAAGAAATGCAAGTGGGCATTTAAAGGGACAGAAAGAGTGTGGACAAAACCATACAAATATCCCTTCTTCACTGGGAATTTGAGCTTGCAAGTGCTATCCAGAAGCAGGACGAGAACACTTTCCCAATGCAGACAGGGAGAATGAGAATCAGCTCAAAGTGGAATTAATCAAGAAAGTGCATAGAGTTCCTAGCAACGTGACCGAATGCTCAATGATTCGAGGAAATCTAGCCTACTCATAGAAGTTTTAGGGGTTGGAATGATACTTTTAACAGATCACCTCTCAATGAATAGCAAATAAGGAATAAATCACTGCAGTTTCAGAATTTTGAATGATGAATTAATTTTTCTGGAGCTTTTTATTCCTGGTAAAATTTGGAACTTCAAAAGGCCTTGAAAACTTAAGTTGCCTATAAAAGTAAACTTGATAGTTAAAGAAACAGAACTGAAATACAGTGATAATAATATCCCATTACACAGAAGAAGTCTATTCAAAACATGTTGTCATTTTCAGAGGATTTTTTAAGTTGTTTTCAAAGCAGAATAGCCAATGTGTATGTAAGAATTCATCAGTGTATTGCTATAGGATTACCAAAATATAGACCTTGGTTTAATGTAAACAAACAGGTGTGAACTTCTATATATGAGGAAAAAGCATTTTTAAGAATCTGTATACAAGAAAAGCCTCCCAGTCCCACTTCCTTCCTCCCCCATACTTTGAGGTGCACACAGAACAGAGAAAGGCCTGCACTGTTCACAGTGACCCAACTACTTGGCTGGGCCCCAAGGACACAGGAATTTTCCCACCTATCATGTTTATAGTACTAGCAAAGTCAAGGTTGGTTTGCTTGTTAGTTTTAGTGTTGTTGTGTTATTTGTTTTGTGTGTTTTTTATCTGTAGGATATAGATTATCTTTTTCCATATTGCATATTAACAATGGTATTTCTAGTTCCTTTGTGTAAATTCACTCTTTTTAAAAATTTTTTTCCACATTTTTATTGGTACATTATAGTTGTATATGATGATGGGATGTTGCTACATATTTATATATGCACACAATATAATAATATAATTTGGCTAAATTCACTCTTGAAAATATTCAAACTTAGGAAAAGAATTGGCTGTGAGTAATGTTAGCAGTTTTTCCTGGGAGTGGCTGTGTTTGGTAAACGTCAGTCATGGCACTGGTATTCTTAGTCTTTAGGTTGTAGAGTAGCATGTCATAGAGGTGAGGACATAGAGTTGAAGCCAGGTGGCCATAAGTCTAGGGCCCAACCCTCCACTGAGTAGCTATGTGGTTTTGAGCAAGCCCTTAGCTCCCTAGAACTGTGGCTTCCCATCTATAAAATTGTCTAGAAAGGACCTTTCTCATAGTTATTGTGAAGATTAATTGAAATAACAAATGGAATACCTTGCCAGGGACATATCAATTTATTGTCCTAAAAAGGGTCGTTGAGTCATCCAGTTATTGGGTCATTGAACCATCCTTAGTTTGAAGATGAGGAGCCTGTACTCAGGAGACCAAGGACCTGATCAGCGTCATACAAGCGAGCAGCACTGGGCTAGCAACTTGAACCCAGGCTCTGGACTTCATACTCCATGGATTTGTGCATGATGCATTGGCTGCTGGTTTTCAAAGGCAACTGCTGAACCATTCCAGAGTCTGTGTAGGTGGTGAATCCACTAAACCTTCTCATCCTGTGGACCTTGACTTCCTTAGGCATTAGTTTTCCTGGTCATTCTAAAAGAAGAACAGTCCCACCCTTCCACATGCCCTCTGCCGTTACTACTGTTTTTAAAAATAATATCCAGGAAGGGGAAGAAGAGCCATCATTCACAGAATGCCTGTTAGCTGTTCCCATGTGACCTCACAGAGTGCACACAGGGTGACACTGCTGTCCACGGGGTTTGAATAGAGACACCAGGCTTAGATGAGCTGAGCTACCTGTCCAATGGTCACAGAGAGGAACACCAGCATTAGAACTTGCCCTTTGCTCTGTAGGCTCTGTAGACAAGGCTACTTTAGTTATTTCAGTGGCAAAATACATCACAGTCCCACCCAGGAAAATAAAAAATAGCCTTTAAAAAGAAAAGGCAAGTGGCCCATCACAAAATGAGAGAAACCCGCATGTGCTCACTGATCTGTCAAATTCAAAAGCAAACTCAGATTTTTCCTTATGACCATAGTGAAAGCCAGGTAGGTGTTTGGGAACGTGGAAAGTTGGTTTGCAGCTTGAAGAGCATCCCCAGAAACCAGCGCATGAAATGCACGTAGGCACCTCTGTCGGCGGGCTCCTCTTTTTCTGAAGAATAATTAATAAATATTTTCTTTTAGCATATAACAAACAGTTGAACCAAACAATTATGTAAACTGGAAATGACCCAAAATGCTAGCAGTTGGCAGCCGCACAGTGAAGTGCATTGTCGTGCACATGTGCATGTTTGTCACACCCGCCTCTCTGGTGATCTGCACTTAATAGGAATATTTTAAACTATGTAGCTAAGCAACAGAGGTAATTGTTGCTTTCTAGAGCTTTTGTTAGCACTCTAACACAGCCCAAATATGCATAATTAGGTATAATGTCTATAAATCATTATTGTACACATGTGGGTAGTTAAGTGGAGTGAGAGAATAGTTCAATGAATTGAGCATATTCACTGAAAATGCTTTTTATTTGTTTTCTGTAGTTCATAATACTTTAAAATTATCATAACCCTTTACACTTTCTCTTAATAGCCAACCGTGATATTGAGAAAAACTTCATTTGCATTTTAGACTATGTTTAATATATTATTTAAACCTGGAGTTCCTCTGATATGAATTCAGGAGAGGATAGGCCCATCCTATCAAATATTGTGTGCCTGTTTATCCAGCCTCTTTTCTAGGAACTAAAATGTTAAATTTTTCAGTTTACGTTGAATAGATCCCAACAAAAGACTGCACCCTATAATCAGCATTATTTACAGGGGCCAGTGTTGTGACTGAATTCTTCCCTTCATCCAAAAATGCTTTTAGTTACTATGGCAATATTTACTTGATCCTGGCAGTCCAGTGTTGATTTAGGAAGATAATTACCAGAAAGGAAGATGATGGAGATGTATTTTTGAGTGTCCTTGTCAGAGACAATGTTTATAAAAAATTAAATGAGACAAAAAAAGGCACATTGTCTTCCACACAGACACCCTCTTCCACAGCCCTCGCACCAATAGCTGTTCTTTTCTTCCTCCAAAGATGTTTATTAATACAGAATGCACTTCACTTGGTGTCTTTAACAGTCTTAAAAGGGGCTTATTATTTTGTATTTCCCATCCCCCCCATCCTGCCTTTCAGATACAGAAACAGTTCATTTTTTTCCTCTTTGTGTGTGTGTGTGTTTGTGTGTGTGTGTGTGTTGTTTTATTTGTCCTAGTGGGTGTCAGAGAACCATTCTTGAGGTATTTGGTGCATTTCATAACCTGTTGTTTGCTGGGCACCACTCCACATGCTTTGGGTTGGGATTGGTGTCCCTAGATAGTCCAGACCCTCAGTTGGTGCATATGCACTGAGGTAGGATTGAGTAAGCTCACCACTCTATATCTAAACTGTCACCCTCAATCAGTGAAGGGATGACTCTGACAGCTGTCTTAGGATGGCAGCCATTTCTCTGACTGTGTTGGGCAGACTGGCTTTTGGGGCCTGCTCCAGGTCACAGGGTACCTTGACTTTCAGAACCCAAGATGGGGGGGTTCTGGACAGAGGACAACTAGCTTGTCTCCAGCCTCTCCAATCAACCCCTCCCCTCATCTCATTTTCTTTTTACACACATGCAAGAAAGTATCAAACCAGGAAATGTGTTACTATTTAAGCTACTATCTGATAATCCTTATTATTCCTGTTTATGTTTTCCTCAATATGGAATTTTAGTGTGACAGTTGCAAAGTAAACAAGAAACCTGAAAGCTTCAGAGTTCCTTCAATTATCATCTCTATGTAGATGTATTTTGTACCTTAATTAATATTCCATAAAATCTGAGAGTACATCTGAGAAAAATGGAGAACATCAACCAAATAAGCTTTGAAAATATAATCCCATGCTAACACAGTGATCTGATGAATATTTTATTTACAATATATAGTATTATGTATATTCAGTTCTTCTCATTGGCTAAGATGTGGGAATTCATATAATAGGTACAATGGCAATCATTTTACATCTACAACTCTACTGTTGTTAAATATCATCTTTTTTGTCTTGGTCAGTACCCCAGAAGCACTTAGCTCTTAATGTATGAAAATTATAATAGTTAATTAATTTAAAGACGATTTCAGAATATTAAGCTTTAAGTTTTATTTTAAGAGCATATATATTTTTCTAATGTTTACAAAATTAATAGCGACCACATGTTACACATATTAAGTATGTATTTGTGTGTATATATATGCATGTGTGTGCACATACATATGCATGGGGCTATATATTTGTGTATGTGTGTGTGTGTGTGTAATATTTTTTATTATTGATTTCCAAATATTGATGTTCTTTTTCTATAGAAGAAATCATGATAAAACCTGCGGATGAGAATCTTCATTCAACTGCACAAGAAAACTCCCCTCAGAAAGAAGACCAATATACTTGTTATCAAGAGCTGGTAGTCAAATCTCTAATGCACTTGGGGAAATTTGAAAAAAATATGTCTGTCCAGACTATAAGTGAAAACCTCAATGACAGTGGCATCCAATCTTTAAAAGCAGAGAGTGATGAAACAGACGAATGCTTTATGATTCATTCTGATGATGGAAGAGACAAAGTGGATGATTCCCAACCCCCATTCTGCTCTTCTGATGACAGCGAAAGTAACTCTGAAAGTGCAGAGAATGGGTGGGACAGTGGCTCCAACTTGTCAGAAGACACCAAACCTCAGAGAGGCCCAAAGTACATGTTAGCAGATAAGAAAAAAGATCTACTGGAAATTCCTGAAATAAAAACAGAAGGTGACAAATTTATCCCTTGTGAGAATAGGTGTGATCCTGATGCAGACAGGAGAGAACCGCAGAGTGCTCATGTGGAGCCCTTGGATAGCAAAGCCCAATCTGCCTTCCCTGAGACTGAGGAAGAAGACAGGGAGAGCCTGGCCACAATGACAGAAGAATCCAGTGATCTGGAGAAAGCCAAGGGGAACCTGAGTTTGCTGGAGCAGGCCATCGCTCTGCAGGCTGAGCGAGGCTGCGTTTTCCACAGTACTTACAAAGAGCTGGACAGATTTCTGCTAGAACACCTGACGGGGGAAAGGCGGCAAACCAAAGTTATTGACATGGGTGGAAGACAAATCTTTAACAACAAACGTAAGAAAACATTTTTTTTTCATTTATTTTAGGATAAAATTACCTTAGGGTTAAGAGATTAAATTTTATTATTTCTTCCAGAAAGCTTTTTGACTGCTGAATGCTCTTTTAAAGTCCCAGTTCATAACTGGGAAATAAATAATTTCTTATTTTTACCCCCTACTCTCTAGATTATTATTGAATCAAATTTGATTCGTTTTGCAGGAACTTCACACCGAAAAAATATTCATTGCATGTATTTTTAAAATGTAATTGCTTTTTTTAAAATTTTACTTTTTCTTCTAGCAACTAGACACAACAGCATTTACCATGTAATTGCTTTTTAAAACAAATCATACCTTTAAAAACTACTTTATTGGATATTGTTAGTAGTAGCACTTGTTGCATTTCAAATCATTTTAATTATCAAATTCCAGAAATTTAATTTTTCTTTCCTACTCTCCTTCAAAATCATCTGGCAGCTTTTGAGCTTCAAAATGATATTAAGTTACTTGTAAGCCAGGCAGGGTGCTCTGATCCTTCTTGGGATAAAACTGGGTTTAAAATGTGTTTGTAGTCTTACCAGCTTTCTGATGCAGGGCCACAAATATCTGGGTCAAACTCGAATTGACAGAGTGAACATACTTTGAGGATACTTTAAAATTGCTCCTCAGTCTTTAACAAAATTGTGTCCCCTTTTCCCCATGGAATATTCTGCCCATTTTTCTACCAGGTCTCACACCAGATAGGCCCAGTGGATTCCAACAGTTACATGGAATTTCCCAGTAGTCTCGCAGGGCCTAGAAGTCACATTTAAGATGGTTATTTCCAGGAGTCAGATTCAGAGCCCCATGGTTTGCATTTTTTTTTCAATAGTTCTTAGGTGATTCTCAGAATTAGGGCAAGAATATCTTAGAGAAAATCAAGATCATAGATCTAAAGGGCTTATAGGAATACTATGTTGATATGGTTTAGAAATTCTGATTATCTAGAAATGAATTGTAAATTTTGTCATTTAATTCCATTTGCGTACTCACCTGCAATCTTGACAAATAATGTCTTTCATCTCAGAGCTAAGAAAACAGAAAAGACTAAAATAATGTCATGTAGTAAGGAGCATGATCATAATGTGATGCAAACATCCTACAAGGGTTGGAATAGGGACAGAATACTAATGACTAACGTGTGGTTCAGGACAGGGCATTGTATTCAGCTCTGTGTACTCCCACTAATATACAGTTTTTTAAAAATTTGCCTGTTTCCTTTTAATGAACCAGAAATCTGACAAAAAGATGAAATTTATTCCAAATTTTGCAAATCTGTAACTTTCTCTGTGTGTATGTGTGTTTGTGTGTGTGTGTGTGTGTGTGTGTGGTGCTGGGGATTGTGTGTGTGTGTGTGTGTGTGTGTGTGTGTGTGTGGTGCTGGGGATTGAACCCAGGACCTTGTAAATATGAGTCAAGCACACTACCAATTATATCCCCAGTCCAAATCTGTCATTTCTAATATACCATGTTTCATTGATTCTAAGATACATAGTTTCCCCGTTCTAATGACTCTGAAATCAGAAAGGTACACACTAGTTTCTTAACTGCATACAAAGTGATCTTTCGTCTTACAATTGATATCTTACAACCAATGAAATCCAATGTTTGTAGAAACTTTTTGAGCCATAGCTTAAAATACTTGATGATCTTCTGGCTTTTTTTTTAATAAAACTTTTTAAACTTTTTTTGTTTTCTAAAACTAACACAGCAGTAGAATCTGTATTTGTAAATGGTGGGTCACTTGAAGACATGATTCTGGAGTCAATAAGATGTCCTGTGGCATAGGGTCTGCTCCTGCTTTAGGTGTGTAAGCCTCTGCACGATCAAGGCCAGGCTCCTATGAGACAGGTTAAAAAAAAAAAATGAAACCCATATTGTAGGGGAACTATAGGCTTATATAAGGATGCTTGTGAGTCTAAATTAAGTATCCACATTTCTGTTCCTTATTCCTGGTAGAGAAGCACAAGAGGGATTTTTCTTCTCTAACATGCACTCCATATTAAGTGAGCATACATCCCGACTGATAGCCATCTTCTTCAAACAATTCTGACTTTGTGTACACCTTGGACATACAACTCCACTGTTAAGAACATTAGAATTTTAAAATATCATTATACCCAAGCCTTCAGATGAGTCATTGATTCTACAATAAATTTCAGCATACTATAGCTACTAAGCATTTAGAGACCATAGTTCTCAGTGTAAGTAGAGTCGTCATGTAATTTATTGCCCAACTGTGACACTTTTTAAGTAAAAGGGGGCAATAGGAATAATTATGCACGTCTACCAGTTACGAAGACAGTCCCAGGAAAACTAGTATCTAACATCACTAGAGTATAAGGTCACCCTCATTGTGCAACACTGTGCAAAGAAAATAAAAGAAGAACCAGCTTGAGAGTTGCCCCGAGCTCATGCTCTGGCTTCTTATCATGCGAACAGGTTCTGCCCTCCAGAGCATTTCAAATCAGCATCTTTGTTTTGCCCAGCCAAGGAGAGACTTGAAGACAAAGGTGCATGGTGGACTGTCAGTGGCCCCACCTGGGCAGGTGCCAGCCTGCGTTATCTCCAACACCCTCTCTGGCTTCATGCAGACAAACAGCGTGGCAAGGACGGGAAATGCTCAGCGCCAAACCTTTCAATGCGGTTTAGAAATGTGGCCTCGCCTGGAGGAGATCCAAGAGAGGAAGGGCATCAAAATACACATTGTTGCTCTTCTGCGTCCTGTGAGCAGCTCTCTGTTATGGTATCAGTTCCTCTCGGTTCACTTTAATCAAACTTCAAGGTTTTTGACTAGTGGTCTACAGATTTTACGTACCTAAATCAACTTGAAATTTGGCACCAAATTTAGAGTAAATGGAAACAGACATGCACAAAGTCACAGAACATCACAAATTCTTAATATGCTTTTTTTTTGTCCTTTATAAAATACAAAGACAGTAGTCTCAACATCAGTCATTGCTTTTGAATCCTATCTGTGGTTAATATAAATACCTGCTACTGAATGCGACCCTATCTTTGGCTGCTCACTGCTCATTTACAACTCACGCTTTCTGTGTCCTGACCCTTCCTCTATGGATAGTGCAGGCGGCAACTTGAAGGATCCTTGCTCCTCCCTCTTTCACTGAAACCATGCCCCCATATAATTGCATTACATACAACCTGCTGTGTCCCATCTGCCCAGGACTGTTTGTAATCCAACAACTGGGGTGACATGGTATCACAGAAGCTTGCCTACTTGCCATATACTGTCCCAGAGATGTTGTTCATATCCTGCTATAGTAGCCTGTTCTGGGTGCCCCACTTGGAGCCAGGAGCATGCAAGAGATCCACATCCTTGAGCAGCAGGGCCCTTTCTCATACTCTGTCACCAGCAGCTTCTTGGGCAGAATCATCTGGATTTTTTATTTTTGCTGTCAGCATCAAGCATTATGCCTGTTGCTTGGCTTTCTGAGAATCCTGAAGCCTTCCTGCAGTCCCCTTTTCTCTCTCTCCCAGGGCTCACAGTCTTCTCATCCTTCTTCCAAACACCCTGAATGCTGATGAAGAATAGAATTCTCCATGATTGCTATCATTCCAAGCATGAATTAGGGGCAATTTGGGCTATAAGACAGTATTTCTGTTTAAGTTTATCAACCATCTCAATCACAAATATATACATTTGTAACTAAGGCCTCCTCTGCATTAGCTCTGATCTCATCAATATTCCTGTTTCATACTCATTTATGTTAAGTATTTATATAACCTTTTATCTAGCCCTCAGCACTATGATGCCAGAAAAATTATAAAACTCCTGAGCGTGTCTTTGGTCCTATTCTCTCCAGGCTCTTGTCCCACAGCATGCTGACAAAATGTGTTACAAGGTAGCCCTTTCCGTGCCTGGCTGCACCTGAGAACCATGCCACACCTGGCTGCGCAGTAGCACCCTCCAGACCACCAGGAAGGCAGCCCCTACCCTCTCTGTTTTCTGAAAGTCCCCGGCAAGATCATTGCTTTTCTAAGTCTCAGTTCTCAGTTCCTGCAGTCAGTAAAATCAACAGCTTTTCACCACAGTCACTGTGCATGGAACCGAAGTAACAGCCATTGGGGTTTGGGAATCTCGGGACTTTGCAGTACTACTGGTTAGGCAGAACACAAATCTTATCCAGACTCTCATCAGTTGCTCTGAAGGAAGTTACCTCTGCTTATTCATGAGCTTCTGGTTGGCCCTCAACCCCAGGGCCACCTGCTGCTAGTGACTCATGGGGACAAAACCAGAGAAGCCTTTCTCAGATATGGTAGTTTGTTTTGTAATTTTGAATCTGGCTTTTTCCAGACTCTTTCAATAGGAGATGGTTTGGGATTAAATAAATATTTTTCTTCTTTCTCACTTTTCTTTTTCTTTCTTTCTTTTCAGGAGCTTGTTCACCCTCTGGCATAGGGGTGATTTTTCATAATGAGGCTTTAACTATAATACGTGACATGACAACTTGAGACCATCTTTGTATTTTAACAGCTCCTTGCCCTGTGTCAGCCTTTGCTTAGGAAACCAAGAAAATTGAAAACATGTTTTATGTTTCCACAGGTCTTAGTTGAGGGTCTTATTCAAGGCAATGTGAGAAGAATGTTTATGATGGTAAAACTGAATGAAGTGAGAATGTCACTCTGCAAGGCCACTATTGAATAGGAAAAGAAAGAAGAAAAGCCAAATGAATTTCTCAATTTAATTTCTCTGTAGATTCACCGAGGCCTGAAAAGAGGGAGACCAAGTGCCCTATCCCTGGGTGTGATGGCACAGGACATGTGACCGGGCTCTATCCCCACCACCGCAGCCTTTCAGGATGCCCCCACAAAGTGCGGGTTCCCCTGGAAAGTGAGTACTGCCTATTCCTAAAGATGTCAGTGCTTTCTTAAAAGTACCAGAACATCACAATATTGGTTGCTTTCTCTTCCAATTTGGAATTCACAATGGAAACAAAGTTTTCTCTGTGGCAAGCAGTTTCCATCTAGCTGTATGTTTTAAAATGGAGTGTATTGGTAGAAAATTTGAGGGACAATAAGTTCAGCAGATAAAGAGAAAATTGCACTGAGTAGATAGCTTGCTACCCATATTTCCTAAGAGAGGGGGTCTCATCATGCCACTGGGGTCATATGCAGAATCCCCAGGTTGTGTCAGGAGGCAAGGGCAGGAGGAACTTTAGGCCAGAAGCCTTTAGTTTCTATGTAAAGGAACATACAGGGAAGGGTAAGTGGACTAAGGGTTGTTGGTTCCTCTAGCTCTGGGGTATAAGATTTGTCCCTGGTTCTTTTGTCCATGACCCTAGGATAATTAGGGAAAAGGACTTTGCCCCAGAATATTAGAAACAAATGAGCTTGTTGGGGTGTAGGCACCAGAGTTTAAGAGTGTTCTCAGCTGGTCAATTGTGTGCCTTCTTTAGGAGCTGGCTAACTCTGGGAGGGCCAGTTCCTCCTGGGTCAGCAAGTCCCAGGTGTCAAAGCATCACAACTACAAAAAATAAGCCGTATTGCCCTGTGTGATTGCACAGTTCGTTCTCAGCCTAAAGTCTGACCTCCAATATGTCCAGGGTCAACCTTAGCCTCAGGACATCACAGGGAGGTCTCCGCATCCTCCTGGCCTCCACGCATTATGAGAACACGTACTCTGTAGTGTTGTCTTGGAACATCCTGTCACAGCTAAGAGCCTGAGCAAAGGCAATCCTCAGTATATCAGCCCATCCCTGTCCTACTATGAACCAGGTCTCTACAGGTAAATAAAGGCTGCCACCTTCCAAGCTACAAAGATGTAACCTACTGTTTGAATCTCTTTATTGAGACACCTCTTGGGCCATACAAACTGGAAGAATAGGGACACCTTAGCATTCCCTTCCTTAATATTAAGAGTTAGCAAGTCACTAATCTAACCAAATGAGTCCTGTGCTGCTGAGTTAGCAATTCCTTAGACTGATTCTCTGATGATTCAGTCAGCCATACTCCTCTCCCTCCTGCCCTCCCTGGTACTAGACGTTGAACCCAGGGACACTCTACCACTGGGCTACATCCCCAGCCCTTTTATTTATTAATTTCTCTATGTTGAAACAGGCTCTCACTAAGTTCTTAGGGCTGGTCTCAAACTTAGGTTCCTCCTGCCTTAGCTTCCCTAGTACCTGGGGTTACAGGCAGGTGCCACTCAGCAATACTTTCCACAATACCACATGGCAGTGGATGGTGGTTAGAGAAAGAATCAATATAGCATCACTTAGGAACTAAAAAAGACCATAGGCAGAACTTCAAATTGGGGAAAAGGTGGAAAGAGCTATTTGGCAGATACTGTTCTCCAAACACTCCTCCAGGGAAAGCACTTGAATGTGGAAGGAAGGTGATGAACTTTTCAGTTTAAATTAAATATGAGCTGAATAGAGTCGTTTAAGTCTATGGTTAAATATAACTTGGAGTTCAGAGCAGTTAACATGATAAATCTTGCTAGATTTAATTTTTGAAGTTCTGGTGTTCTTATTTTTTTTTCAACTAAATATATCTGGAGAGGGAGCATAGTGGATTATGTAACAAGTCATTTAATTGCAAAATTAAGAAATGAACATGTTGATTTTTTGTATGTTTATGGTAAATTATTCTTCTCTTTAATGTGCTATTTTGTGATTAGTTCTTGCCATGCATGAAAATGTGCTCAAGTGTCCCACCCCTGGATGCACAGGAAGGGGTCATGTGAACAGTAATCGCAACACTCACAGGAGGTAATTCTCATGATTTGCTAATGATTTTACATTTTAAAAAATTGAAGCTTTCCACCAATCAAATTATGGGCTGTGTGTTATGAAAATCACTGCATCACTATCAAATATGTTGCCGCTTGAAATAGATAAGGAATAGTCTCAACTTTCGCAGAGTCAAAAAGAAAGAAAAATCACCTCATTATTTCCTTTCATAGAAGTTTTTATATTAGCAGCCAATTTCAAAAATGAAAAACTGTTAAATTTGAAGATGCTGGGGTTACATGTTCATTTAGTCAGACAAATAGAATATATTCTCTTCTATGCTGGAAGCCCATCATTATAGTGTTGGTACTGAAAAGAGTTGCTTATGGGTTATCTTGGATCCCACCATAGGCATTAAGAAAGAATCAAAAGGGCTTCCACATACAGTGGTTTGACTGTTAACCAGGCAATGAGGTAACATACTTCCATTGAGACTGCAACTAAAATAGAACATTTATATGCATTTATATACAAATGCATTATGTGTGTGTATATTTGCATATGAAAATGTTGATTGTTTTGTGTGTGCATTTTATGTGTGGACTGTGATTATGAGGTACTACTGAATTATAAGCACATGGCCAAGAAAACTTCAATTTAAACTATAAGATTCAATCCCTCAAATTTGCTAGATATCCTAAGATAAATTATAGAGTTACCATGCTAATATCTATAGTTAGATCCATTGCATTTGGAATGAGCACAGACTGCTGAAAATATTAAAAGTTTCAGAATAATTTAATTATTTTTCCCTTATGTAATATTTTGATTTTTTCAAATGAGCTTGTTACCATGCACCACTGAGATGAGGTTGGGGGACAAGTATTGACAATGTAGTTTGAAAACCACTTTGGGATCTTTTCATATGAGAATAGTGCTAAGTGAACTATTAATATGACTTAACATTTAGTGTGTGCCAAGTATGCTGCGAGGCACATGCCAAAGCAAATCATATTATCATTTTAACTCACATCCTCCCGCTTTTCTTTTTTGAAACAGTCTTTCTGGTTGTCCAATTGCTGCAGCTGAAAAATTGGCAATGTCCCAGGATAAAAATCAGCTTGATTCTTCCCAAACTGGGCCATGTTCTGACCAGGCACACAGGTAGGAGCTCCCAGGAAGTTCCTGATGTTCTGTTCATGCCAGGATCCAGCTCAGCAGGACCTCATGTCCCTTATGTGTCACTTCATTGTGGCCTGACCCTCATTTTCAGCCACCAGTGGACCTGTGTGGGCAGCTCATTGGAAAGGCTGGTCTAGAGAATGATACTTTCTCTCTTAAGTGAGCTAAGAGACCCTCCAGAAGTTTAACTTGAAATTGGTCTCTTTGCTAAGGCAACACAATATGGGTAGAGTCTAAAAGGAATAAAACCTTCAATAACATACAATGATCAAAATTCTGATTCATTAATGTAACACATCCCTCACATCAGGTAAGCTTCCCTTTGTGATTGACTTCACCTTCTCTGCCTGGAGAAAATACATCATAAACTTCTAATATCCCCTCAAAATATGTGATATTATATGTTTATCCTTGAGCTCCCCATATACATGTAATTTTTAGAGCAAAATTTTATTCTATGATGGATAGCTATTAATAAAATAACTTCCATTTGTCCTTGTAGCTCCCATATTCTTTGTATCTTTTAGTTTGGAAGATCTTATACCTAAATAATAAAGTATGTACGTTGAAGTTTAATGTGACAGTGTATGTCTATTCTACAAAAATCAGACATGTAGGAAAAACGATTTCAGGATTGAGAGAAATGATCAGATAACTGTTGTTAATGAGGTGCTAAAATGTCAAAACAGCTCTTATGCATTTCAGTATTTTCAGGGCATAGCTTCCCTTAATATTTTGTTTCTATAGATTTAATTAAAAGAGTAAAAATTGGCATTCAAATCCCATGAATAAAAACATTTGTCAAGTGACAATCATGAATTACTGCTTAAGGAGCAATTAGAAATCTTAAAATGGGATTCTAGGTTAGTATTACTGTATGCTTTACTTTCTCCCTAAGTAGATTATTTATCAAATAAAGAAATAACAAAAAGTACACTTTGCTCATTTCATAAAGGATTGATGTTATTTTAGATTAGAACATTTATGCAACTTTAGGACTATAAACCAAATTACATATATAATAATAAAATTCACTAATATGTGTATGTAGAAGCTAAAATTTCCTTTATCTAATCCAAAACCCATCATTGAAACTAAAGCCTCACAATTTTTTTTTGGAACTCAAAATTTGGGAATCAAGTCACTGTCCCATAGGCAGCAGGCATGATCATAACAATTAAATAATTAAAATTGTTAATTATTATCAATGAATGATCATAACTATTCATTGCTAATAATTAACAATTTTAATAAGCAAAATGCATACACCAGTGCCTTAACACATATTTTAGTTGTGTAGTCACATGACACTTTTCTCTGCAGAACTTAAAGTGCTGACAACATGTTACTCATGACATCTTCATGAGGTAAATGGAGACTGCATATTCTTATCTTGCCAGTGGAAGACTGGGACACTAAATATGTAGTAGAAATCATAACCAGGCAAAGTCCAGAACATCCCTCCATCTCTTGCTCTGTGTCCAGAGTACTCTGCCTTCTTGTGTTGTGACCACTTTCTTGTCATTGTGCAGTGTCTCTGTGGGTACCTATGCACAGTGACACTTCTATCTTGGAAATTTTGACACTCATACACTAGTGATGATCTCATTTTATTTTGAACTACTTCCCCACTCTCTTCAGGACAAGCTTGGTGAAGCAAATTGAGTTCAATTTCCGATCACAAGCCATCACTTCTCCCAGAGCCACAGTATCGAAAGAACAAGAGAAGTTTGGAAAAGTACCATTTGATTATGCCAGTTTTGATGCCCAAGTCTTCGGTAAACGTCCCCTTGTACAAACAGGGCAAGGACGAAAAACTCCACCATTTCCTGAATGTAAGCTTCAAATTTAAATTCTAATACTTATTCCCCTCAAATGCATCTTGTGTAAATGTGTGATGTTGAGGGAGGCTGCTCAAGTATATACTGTACTACTTAAAGCTGACAGGAAAAAAAATAGATTGTGCAGTAAAGTAAAATAATTGATCAGTGTTACTGCTTTTATCCTGAAGTTACACTAAATGTGATGAATAGTTAATGGGTTAATTATTCTACAACTACTCAGCCATTGTTGCATCCAAATACGGTAATTTTAAAGAAACATTTAATTCACATTTAGGATTAGGATTAAAATTATATTTAAAAATGCAATGGCTATTGTGATACATTATTTTTATTCATGTTGAAATGATGGAAATTATCAGATAAAATATTGAAATGCTACTCAATATATTATTTAGGTCAGCAAAAGCATTCAGGCTGAAGATGGGGTTGGGAAAGGTGAAAGATCTAAGAAGAAATTCAATTCAGGAATCGAGATTTTTACCAGGAAAAAAATGTGTGTGGCTCTCACAGCATGTTACTCACAAATTTAAGAATTAATATACAAATATTTTAAATAAACTAATACTCTACTTCTGCCAGGTTCATTGGAAGATATAATGTATAAAACTTGGTGGTTTGGGATTTTTTTTGTTTGCTTTTTGGGTATCAGAGATTGAACTCAGGGGCACTCAACCACTGAGCCACATCCCCGGCCCTATTTTGTATTTTATTTAGAGACAGGGTCTCACTGAGTTGTTTAGCGCCCCACCACTGCTGAGGCTGGCTTTGAACTCTCAATCCTCCTAGCTCAGCCTCCCAAGCCACTGAGATTACAGGTGTGCCACCATGTCCGGCAAAACCTTGATGTTTTTACTTAACTATTTCTTCAGGTTGTTTGGAGTACCTAAATATTCTGATAAAAAGGTGAGAAAATAAATATTGAGAACAAATACAGAAAATTATTCCTGCATTAGGTAGCTTAACTTCCATTAAGGAAGAAGCTTGGAGTTCTTCATAGACCATGATTTTTTTTTACAGCAATACAAACCCCTGAAATCCATTAGATCTTGCACCTAGACTGAGTGTAAAACCAACAGTAAGGCTAGAGATGCAATTTGGAGGTAAAACCCTTGCCTAGCATGTTCAAAGTTCTTTGTCTGACGCCAGCACCGTAAATAATAAAACCTAGCAGTATATAAACAGATTTGAAAGGACTTTACCCATTGATAAAAAGTACACTTTATTCCAAAAGATATTGTCTATTCTTACCAAAAAAGAGGTCCCAGCAAACTTAAATAATCAATGACAACTTGTTAGATTCAGGAGAAAAAAATGTTATACACACAAACAATGTTTTATATCTATCTGTACAGTTTTACAGATATATAATTTTATTTTTTATGCACATAATATCTACACAAACACATATGTTTAATGCACATACAGCCATTTAATAAGAACATTCTATACACTCACACAATATGGATATTGATTTTTAAAATGGCAAAGCATTCAAAGACATTTTTATATTCTTGTAATTACAGGAGTAACATTTGGTAATATTTTAAATTTTTTCTTATGAAAAACAATCAAATATTTAAAATATTAAATACTTAATGAAAAATAAACAGGTGAACACTTTTGTATCAGCTCTCATTAAATCTTGGGTGTTTTTCCCATTACCTTGAGTAATATTTACAGACACCCCACAGTGACGAGAAATATGTGTAATTCTATCTCTCAGTAATGCCTTGCTACTCAGAACAGAAAAATAAAATAGAAACTCAGTCTTGATAACCAAATTGCCTTTCTGTTCACCTTGAGAACATTTCCTCCCTGTCCTTTGCTTATCTCGCTCTCCCTGAATATGCAAAATGCCAGCTCATTAAAGACTCCACCATCTATTTAGTTTCTTCTATTTGGATGAAGAACACTTTTTCCTAGTTCAAGTATGGAACAAACCTTTGTGTCAACAAATAAAAATACAATTACGTATCTAAGTATAAATTGTCATTGTGAAAACAAATATTGAAAGGATGTATTTTTTCTGTACTGGAATTATGGGCCCTATACATACATAATTTTTAGATATACATGCCTTAAGCTCTCTGTAGTCCCTGATAGGTTTTGCTTATAGGGTTTTGAGCTTCATTTTTTGCCACAAATGTTGCCAGTGCACCTGCCCCATAACATTAGTCATAGAGTTTTTGTCATAAGAAGTGTCAATACAAAAAATATTAAGAGAATAGGCATTCTCTCCCAGCAATCACATCATTTGATCTGTGAACCTCCATGAAAACCCATCTGAATAACCTTCATTTAACATACCAATGGATAATGGCTCATGCGTTAATTTATTCTTCACATATTTTAATGCAAGAAGTTATATCTTTAAAAAACAAATCTATTTAATGACTAAAACCACGTACATGCAATTGCTAATCAAATCTCTCTTCAACAGCAAAGCATTTTTCAAATCCAGTCAAATTTCCTAATCGACTGCCTAGTGCAGGCGCCCACACACAGAGCGCSAGCCGTGCCAGCTCTTATAGCTACGGTCAATGTAGTGAAGACACCCACATAGCAGCAGCTGCTGCTATCCTGAACCTTTCCACCCGCTGCAGGGAAGCCGCAGACATCCTCTCCAACAAACCACAGAGTCTGCATGCCAAGGTAGGCCAGTCCAAGAGCCCGGAGGGTGGGCCAGCGACAGAACCGTGAGAATAAACTGCCTTTCATGTTCCTAACCACATTTGCCACCACTCAGCTCCTCCACCCTAAAGCCATCCCCTCCCTGTCTTAGGAAGAGGAACATTGACAGTGGATGAAGTTGGTGGGTTCAAAGAAAGAAAGTGTGCATCCCTTGGCTGGTGGCTCTTCTGGAAAATGGGGGACCATAGTTTAGGGAGAAGTGAGTTATGGAGACTGGTCGGGGAGCATTTACAGATTTCAAAGCTATTTTTGTTAAAGGGATTTGATCGAATAAGAAAAGAGGATTGATATTAAAATAAATCTTGATCATAGAAGCTTTTGCTGCCTGCAAATCAAAGATGATAAGAAATGTTTGATTAAATAGCAACTGGCAAAACATTTGCAAAACTGACCCATGAAATTTTATTATTGCACATGTTACTGTCTCATAACATAATATAGTCTAGGTTGCCGGAGCATTCTTAGAAGACACATGGGAACTCCTGGGTATATTAAATCAGCAGGGAGGTTTGAGAACTTGTAACACTCTAATCCAAAATCAAATATCGTGATCTTTATGAAAACACTACATTTCTGAAGCCCATGAAATATGAATCACATTTTTTTCTACAGCTTCTCCTTTCCACATATGAGAAGTACATGGGTATGCTCATGGTAACCTGACTAATACATACACAGAACCTTCATGCCTGGCCTTTTGCCAGTGAGGGACTTTGCAAGTGCCCCAATGATCCACAAGAGGATGTTGTAGGGACTCAAGCCACTTCCTCCTACTGAAGCCAGTAACTCCTATTTACACAAAGCACTTCAATTAAAAGAAATTATTTCCCAACCTAGATGGCTGAAGCCAGCTGAAATAAAGTGTGCAGGCTTACTTGATAACAGCTTTTACCTTTGCTATAAGTGGAAGATTCCCTAGGTGAAACTGAAACCCTGAAACCCAGGCAATTAAAGCCTGTACCCTTTTTTCCCCTAAGAACAGCCTCTCCGGAGTGGTCAGCTGCTCGCCTGTGCTGTGCCAGGCCTTCAGGAGAGCAGGTAGTGCAGTGCCACCGAGCATTTGACAGAAGAATCAGAATTAGCTTCTGGACAAAACTGAGCCAAGTAAACCCCAGGAAGAGTTGGTGGCCAAAAAGCACTCAAAAACAATTTTTAAACAAATGAGGTTCTTAAACAAAGAAAATCAAATTCTCTAAAAATATAAAGAAAATACCTGACTGTCTGAATTCAAAGGAATCCCAGCCACAAACTATTGCCATAGGCAAATGATTTGGAGGATTTTAAAATGCAACTTTATTTTTAAATCCACATTTTAAATTTGAGTAAATTTCTTTTTAGAGGTATATTCTAATAGAGATCTGGTTGCAGAAATACTAACATAGCTTCCTTGCTAGTACTTTATTTCTTGGTGGTTTAAGCTGTCCTGTGAAAATAAGACTACTGGTATTATAATTATTAATGTCACTTAAAGTACTCAAGTAATGGTGCTGGGATGCATGCTTTCCCTCTGCACATGTAAATGTTTTTATGCTCCTCAGAATTCTGTCTTTCACCTTAAGATTCTTAGTGTTCCATCAAATTGCTCACATCAAACAATGTAACAAAGATGGCAAACATTTGAGTGTTTTTTTCCTTATTAGTGTATATTCTCTTTTAAAAACACATTTCTGATCAGAAGACTGACTTTAATTGGCACAGTTTAAATAGTCTATTTCAAATGTATATTCTTCCATCCCTTGTGCCAAGGCAGTTCTGTGGAGTGGATTGGGCTTGCCTGGGGTAATTGGGACTCCACTGTAGGCCTCAGCCTCCTGCTACCAACTCAGCCAAGTCTGCAGAGACCAAACCATTGATGTGATGCTGAGGAGGGAAGAAACAGAAAGTGCTGAAAGATGTTTTAAAGGAGTTGATCTGTCAGGAGTTTTAAAAGCCATTTTCTTATGAACATTATCTCCTTGGACATAGTGATTGTTAAAATAGAATAAATATGGCACCCTGCAACGTCACTGTGCAGAATCCTGCCAACATGTACATTCACACACAACTCGTAACAATTTGTAGAATACTGCCCTTGTTGGATCCTATTTTCTGCATACAGAAGAATATCTCACCAATTCCTGAAACAACAAAAAAAAATATTTCTTCTAGTGAAAGTGAGAAAAAGCCAAGGCAATTAACTCTGAAAAATGGCCTCTGAGCAAACAGTGCCTACGTGGGTCCTTTCTGTTGTTAGTGTCGCACTTGACTCTGAGCCTTCTCCTAAAGCAGGGTTGAGTATAGTCTTCCTCTCCACATTGAATGCTAGCCTGATTCTCCTTCTATTAGATTTGATTTTCCTCCATGGCAGATTGCTAGTATGTTTATCTCTGATAGCCCAGATAAACAGATCTCTTGATCTCTTATTTCTTACTTAACAGTGAGAATGTAGAAATATACAGCTTTTCCTTATACTTCTGTAATGGAGCATTCTTGGTATATTAGAGAGACATCCTGGCAGAGAACCCATAGTTATACTCTCCAGAAGGTCTCTAAGTGCTAGATTGCCCTAGTCAAAGGGTAGATTAAGCCATAGACCTTACCTTCAAGGAACTTACAGACAAGCAGGATAAAAGAAATGACCCTCTGGGCCTGGGCATGTACCTTAGTGGTAGAGCACTTGCCTAGCATATAAAAGCCCCTGGGTTCAATTCCCAGTACCCCCCCCCAACACACCCTTCAGAAAAAGTGACCTTCTGGTTATGGTACCTGACTTGCATTGTTTTAGATAAAGCATAGAGTTTGAAGAGATGAGATCAATTATTAATTTGATCATAACTTGGATGATAAATGATTTCTTATTTTCCCTTTGTTCCCATTTGTTCCTTACTTTTATGCAATGAATATCTCTCTTCAGTTGTTTAACACACCCAATAGGAGAATGAATTAAAGATAAGACTGTCACTTATTGGCACAACCTTTTAAAATCAAGTCAAATGCCACTAACTTAAAATTTGCCTGCGTGCCCACTTGGTGGGGCTAATACAGATTTTTTTTTCATGTCCTATGTGAGCACACAACTGACTCCCAAGGTTAGTGGGAGATCTGAATGGGTAATTTGCAAAATCCCCACCCTTAAGGAAAATCAAGGGAACACAGGTTGTTTTCAGAGGGACAATAAAATTTTAGAGTTCCTGAATGGCCTAAAAATAATGGAAGATGATACAGATAAACTAAAATACACTTTTTCTCAGATATTTTCTTAGCCTCATACACTAAGACACTTTGCTTCTCTGTCCCTTCCCAACACTGACGGTGCATACTTGTGTATGTTGTTGTTAATTCACCTAGCTAGTCTCCACCAAGCTCAGGCGCCCATTATGCTCAATGTGGAGAACACCAATACTTGTCAGTCATTGCTGGTCACTGCCCAAACAGAACCCTTTGCCTTCTGAAAGTAGAAGATTTTTAAAGGAATTATTTATCTGTTAAAATACCATCTGGCCTATGCATAATATATTGGCACCACCAAAATTGCCTGTGTGTGGTTTAAGTATCTTTTTAAGGAATCGGGTCAGTAGAAAACAATTAGTACTTTCCAGTCTTAGAGGAATATCATAAAGGTTAAAGGTAATTCTGTGTGACATATAGTACTCTCATTGGTTCTAAGATGTCTATCATGTTCCACATTTTAATTTGGAATTAATATGAGTCATGAAACATAAATGAGCCATGGCTTCCAACACCTCCCTTGGTCTTGATACTGTGACTCCTGGCAAGAGCAGAGCACCTGGTACCTACAGGCAGGGAGTGAGCCTCATGGATTTGCTGAGCACTTTCCTCCAGTGCCCCATGAGAGCCTGTGCCAGCCTGAGTCAAATCCGCTCCCCATTTTCCTTCCTTCCTCCCACCCTGATCGACAGAGGTAGGAACAAGCTTCACAGTCTATCTTTATCCTCATCTCTGCTGCTTGCCAAGCATTCTGTTGTTTGTTTTGGTGTTTTCCCCACCTGTTTAGACAAAATGACATATGCACAGTGTGCCTTAAAAGAAAACAAAAAATTGACACTTGCTTGAAATGTTTAAAGTTCAAAGTCTGTTTTGTGCTTGAACAAGGCCTCGAAACGACATGATGTCGCAGCACCATTCCTGCTGCCTCTTAACAGGAATAGCCTAGTGGGCCTTGGATGATTACAATCCAAACACAGTCTTCTCCAGTAACTTGAACATCAGGACAGATTGAACCATACGTCGTGAGTGAAATGTGATAAGGGTCTTGGCCCAGGGAGCAAAAGGACTATTCCTGTAAGTGCAGGAAAACTAGATACTTAATAACCTAGGGGTATGTCTCTTTTGATGTTCAAAAACCCTTATTAGCATCATTTATAGAACACCTACTATATGCCAGGTACCATACATAAACACTTTGCCCATATGAATCCATTTTAATCCTAATATTCTAGAAGTGAAGTAGCTAATATTCTCCAACTTTGAAGAGGAAGAAACAGTACTGTAAAGATACTAGATGATTTTCTCTGACTGGCACAGCTACAATTGTTGGAATTAAAATTTGAATTCTCATCCATGTGACTTCTTTTTTTAAAAGACCTTATGTTATATAGACTGTCGGTCCCCCAAGAGTTTAATACTATGATTTCAAATGCCAAACAAAGATTTTCGGGAAGTGGCTGTAAATTTTATTTAAATTTTACACTATACATTAGTCATTTCTTCTCTGCACTCCATCATTCTGTTTCGTTAAATATATTACACAAGCTTATAAGCTAAGAGTCTTAAGGCTTGATTGTCATTGAGTAAGAATAAAATATTTCCATTTCATTTACTTATTAATAACCTACCTACTTCAAATACATACTGAAGATAGCTTTCAATACAGAGAGGGTCACTCCCCAGATAAAAAGAACAGAAGCAAGAATGAAAGAACAGAGGCTGTGAGAGAAGGCCAGGGGTGAATTGCAGCAGAAACCTAAGTGGAATGACACTTAGGTTGCACTTCCTTCCTGCCAAGTCAAAAGATGGCAGGTGATCTCTCGTGGGTTAATAGAGAGTTTGAAAAAGAAGGAAAGCAATATGTCTTATTTTATCAATGTTGTGAAAATTAGGAATTTTCATAATCAGAATATTTAGGTAAAATGATAATGTTGTTTTCACATCAGCAACATATTTAAATATATGATTTTTTAATTCTAATTAGTACTACATGACAATAGAATGCATTTTGACACACCATGCGTAAGAGGAGCATAACTTCTCATTCGTCTGGGTACATGATATAGAATCACACAGGTCATGTAATCATATATGTACATAGGATAATGACGTCCAATTCATTCTATTTTCATTCCTACCCCCATTAAATGTATAATTTTTAATTGTCAATACAAGATAATATTATCATTTGCTTGGAAAATAATGAAGGAAAACAGCTGTAAGCCTATTCTCTAAATACAAGTATGGTAATTTATGTGTTTTCCCTCTTAGTCTTCAAAAACAAATTATCTCTTTTCCCTAGTTGTAAGCATAGCAAGAATGTCATGCTCTTTCATATTTTCAATGATATAAAGATTTTCCATATCACTTGTTACTCAGACCTCATAATTAACATTTTACTGACCATATAATGTGTACCATTTCATTAACCATTTTTCTGTTGTTGGATAGTGATGTCAGTGCTTATTTTGTGGTACAAATAAAGATTATAATCATTAATTCTTTCAACTTTCAATTTAATAATAATATATACATATAATTATCAAATTATCTTTCACTAGAAATCTATAGGCACAAAATAAGCCCCTTCAAGGGAGGAACAATCTATTTCTCAAGTTTATTTTTTCTCCAAAATATAGTATCTTAAACACATTAAAATGCTTTCTCAGTAATTCATTGAATACATAAAAGGTAGGTAGTATCACTCAAAAATGGCTGAAATAGATGGACCTTGATGATTTTCCCAGGATGGAAAGTATACCCTAGCCTCAAAAAAACTTAAAACATACGTTAAATACTTAATATAAGGATCCCAAATATCACTTGGAAGAATCAGAATGTCAGAAGGGGTGGGAGGGACAGGACCATATGAGCTGTGACTGTAGCCTCTTCCCTCCACTGGCCTCTCCCACCTTCCCCCCACTTTTGTGTTGCCATTTAGAGTTTCAAGCCCAGAGAAGTGATGCCTATTGATATTGCTCTGAATAAAAAACCATGCTATAAATGTGCGATCTCCCATCTATGGGCAGAAAGGGACCCTTAGCTGTTACTGTGTGTAATTGTTGAATGCATCTGTGTGCTTACTTAGAGCCCATCTGTACCCGGCTCCCCAACATGCAGCTCACTCTCCGAGTCAAGTCAGGTGCTCAGAGCAGCCGGCTGGGGCATGGGTCTACAAAAGCACCTCTTTTAAACATTAGGAGGGATTTTATTTTTCACTCAAGCCCTGATTACTCAAGATGTGTAATCATAACAACTCCTAGAATTTCTCATATTTTAAAAAAATTTTACTATTTGGAATTCTTTTTCTGTAAAAATTAAAATATATATGAGTGTTGTCTTGAAATAGTTGTATTTTTCAGAGAGATTGAATCTGCACTATTTATGGGTTTTGCACTATAAAACTCTGCAGCCCAGTCACATGGCTTCTTTTTCCTAAGCCATCTGTCACAGAGGTCTGGAATTTTATGTGAATGTTGGTTGTGCAGTCTTAACCCAAGTTTTTTTTTAATTTTTTTATGAAAAATGTCAGCAACTACAATATTTAGCATTTTACTTTACGTTGGCCATTAAACTTGATTACTATAGCTCTCTTTCATTGCTATAGTTACATATCAGCTATAAAGCCAAAAATTGTTTTGATGCGTTTCTGGCAGAATACACATGGCACTGATATGGTTAATATCTTGGATTTTTGTAACTAAGGTTTATTAATGCTGGTATAAAAACGTATTTGATATTATACAGATGGCATAAGATGTTGTGGTTACTACGTTATTATCCAGGATAAGCTGTACTGTCAAATTCAGGGCTTAAAACTATCACAGGAGATTAAACTGTTTACTAAAAAGGGACAGAAAGATATAGCCAAAGCATCTTAGTACAACATATTAGAAGTGTATTTACCTCCTACAAATATAATGCACCATCTAGCTAGTAGAATGAGAGATTGAAAATATGAACTTTGTGCATAAAACAAGCAAATAGAAGAGGTGCTTTTATTTTTTTTTAATCAGGCATAAATGACAAGTCAGACTAAGTGCTGCCCAGGACTCAGTGKCAAATGCTCAGAGGACAGAGGGTAGAAGTAGGGAGAAATTAAAATGCAACCCCAGGAAAGTAACTGTTGACCGTGGGCATTAGGGATCTTGCTAATATATTCAGGACTTTTGCTTTACCAACCAAAAGGAAAGAGTAAAGAAACTGTCAAGAAGTTAATTGTGAATTGATAGATGATGTTGAATGTACCAGAAAGATGTTATTTGACCTATTTGGAAAAATGACAAGCATATTCTTCCAGCTTTGTGGAGTTACTGCATGGCAATGTTTGCAATTCCTGACTCTATACAAGCCACCCTGTGGTGTGAATCTTGAAGCAGATCCAGAACACATGAGCAGTTTATTGGGACTTGAGCCAAATACAGAATGCAATACTGTTTCTTAAAAAATTAAAAATTGAAAAAGCTTGGCAAAAGGTATCACAAGGAGCAACATTAGTTTTAAGTCTCATGCTAAGCATCTGCAAAATAAACATCTTTTTCCTGAAGTTATCATTATTAAACCCCAAATAGTCACACCATCAGCTGCTACCTGAGGGCCCCTGAGTGTGAAGTCTGGTTGCACTGTCTGCCTCTCTCTTCTCACCCACCATGATTTAACAAAGCTTTCCAGTTCAAATAACCTAGGGTGAAACATTGCTTTCATATTTATATGATATTCCAATAAAGATTCTCTTCCAGCTGGTTATGTTTGCATATTTCTCATGTTACTTTAATATTGTGATGGGGGAGTTGGGGAGTTATATGTGCCTTTTGATGAACACAAATGTTAATGCTTTAAATGATGAATTTGGAATAATAATTCTATAAAGTAGAAAAGAAGATTTATAGCTAAACTTTAAAAATGTGTACATACACAAAACAATTTTAGCCAATATTCTTAGTATTTGGAACATCTTATTATTTATATTAAGCTTACTTTATTTAAACCCAGAAACATGAAGCTCACTAATGGAGCTGTTCTTAAAAGTCTGCCTAAGAAATGAACATTACCCAATGCAAATCAGAAAGCTTGATTTAAAAGCAGATATACTTCCATAAAAGCTTACATTTAAAATTATCCCTTAAAAGCCCCACATGGCTCAGCTATAACTGCAAACTGCTTAAATGTTTTTCTGTTTCCTGTTGTGTATCAGGGAGCCGAGATAGAAGTGGATGAAAATGGGACATTGGACTTAAGCATGAAAAAAAATCGAATCCTGGACAAGGCTGCACCCCTAACTTCCTCTAATACTACCATTCCAACACCTTCATCTTCCCCATTCAAAACAAGCAGCATTCTGGTCAATGCAGCATTCTATCAGGCTCTCTGTGACCAAGAGGGCTGGGACACTCCTATCAACTATAGCAAAACTCATGGGAAGACAGAGGAGGAGAAAGAGGTATTGTTTCAATGTGTCAATCAATAAGCTGGAGATAGATCATGACTACAGAGTATTACTAGCTTTTTTCTCCTACATGATATTTCACATTCCTTTTTTATAGTATGGAATCCTATACCATGTTTTAGATTGTGATTGTGRTTAAGTGATGACTTTAAATTTCACATGAAATTTCACTTGCCTAAATTTCACTTGCCTAAAATAATATTCATTATAGTAGCTCTTATCCCCCATGACGGTGACAATTTCTGCACTGCAAGATTGATTTTATTATCTGTCCCATCATAAAGGGCCAATGCCAGCTCACTAATTCTTTTTGAACCAGAAGGTTGAAGATGAAATCCAATCAGAAACAGTTTTGGAACCATGTCAAATCTGCTTCTTTGGTTTCATGAAGGAACTGTGTTGGCATGTCTATGTTTAGAGTCCTTGTTTGAAGTACTGGATCATAAATGTTGGATGTCTAAATTGTATCAATCCCAAAGTTGAGGAGACTTATTTGTGTATTTGGTTATCTCAGAGGTGGTTTTATCCTCAAAGCCAGAAGTTGTTACCTGGCAGAGCCAATTTAACCTTTACCTCTATAGACTGAATTGCTTAACTTGGCCTGATTCACCATGAACTACTTAGTGTCACTTAAAAGTTTGGACAGTTAGAACTCCCATTGTTTAAGCTGTCTATAATTGCAGGTGTGTACATAATGGTTCCAATGAGTGATCCTATTTTGCATTTTGTCAGAAAAGTCATTGATGGGATTGTCACTTGATACGTTTAAAGGACTGAAATAGCCATTCTCTCCAGAAGTATATACCTTCTTTTTCAGCTTTCTCAGTTCACAGACTTGTGGGAGGTGGGGATCTAATATGATTTTGGCTTTAATACCTCAGAGTGTGAGTCAGTATACAAAGTAGTGATCACAAGATTGGGCTGTTTCCAAATCCTCCTTCCTTTTCTTCCTTCCTCCCTCCCGCCTTTCCTTCTTTCTCTCCACACACTTTCACTGGCATCTACAAGTCCAAACAGTGAGTTGCAGCAACAGATAGACCCACTTCCATGATGCACGTGCATCTCAGTCACACCTGTGCTCAGAATTCAATAGGAGGACTGACCCATATCCAAAAGCACTGTTAAACAGATTAGCACAGGCAGACACCCAATATGGAGAGGACGGAACAGCTAACCCTGCATGGGGTTGTCAGAGATGGGTACCCAGAAGAAGCCCCACCATCCCTGATGAAGGGAGTCATACCACAGTGGCTTTTAATTAGAATGTGCCCTACTGACTTTCTTCACTTTATTTTGCTGGGCTTTTAAAACTTCACCTAAAGTCTGGAATCAATCTGTCACAATACAGCAAGTTGAGTACCCCTTATCTGAATTGGTTGGAACAAGAAGTGTTTCAGAATTTGGAGGTTTTCAGACTTTGGAATATTTGCATAGACTATTGGTTGAACTTCCCTAATGCAAAATTTTGAAATTCAAAATGCTGCAAAATTGAAAGAAAATTTTTAAGTATCACATTGGCATTTTGGACTTGGATCTTCAGAATAGGGTTTCTCAAGCTGTATTTTAGGAAATACTTTTATTTAAATAATGTGTGATGATTCTAAACGGTGCATCTCTTCTGTCCACCATAATAATCCACTGCCGTTCAGGCTTGTGCAAAAAACAAAACAAAACAAACCAAAAAAAAAAACCTTACACTGAACTTGCATCTGTTTATAAAATCTAGAAATATATCCCCATTCACATTACTTGGTCATGCTGCACCACTTGTCTGAAATGGAAGTCTGAAGCATGCTAGAAAGTGGGCAGGTTGCTTGGAGGTAAAGTCCTCACAGGTCAAGATTGTTGATTTAATCCCACTACATACAAGTGTGCTTTTGCAAAGGGAGACACTCTTCAATTCACAAGACTGCTTAATCTCCAGCCAGTCAATTGCCAGTTAATCATAGCATATGGCACACACTCCCTTAAAGGCATACCTAACACTAAGCACAGGATCTGTGGTTGTGGGTTGAATAGAAGTCATTATTATCCTTGAAGAATAATACTTTACAAGGTAACTGTAACTGCCTCCCTGTTCTTGCATGAATTGTACAGGGTCAAAATCCCAGGGTGTTATAGTCTCTGGGAGCATCTCAATGCCATGTGCAAAGTGGCACCTAGGATTTTTGTTCTTATCCATGTGACTGTGTTAGTCAAGGGACCTTGGTCAGTGTATTCAGCAGAAAGCTTCTGCAGTATTCAAACTCATGTCAGACAGAGATATCCAGTCCTGAGTAGTAATAAAGCAAATTTTCTTCAAGTAGATTCTCATTTTTGTGTAGAGTATCTTGTATTGTTTGTCATTGATTATAATTGTGTGCCCTTAGCCTTAGTGTCAACATTGCACCTCTTATATTCTGAATACCCCCCCTTCATTATCTCCTTGGCTATCTTTCCCATTACCCAGAAAGGCAAAAAAAATGAGTCTCATAACAAATATTTTATGTTTACTTTCTAACTGTGTTTTTTTGCATAATTTTAAAAAACACTTTGATTCATTTGGATAACTTTAAAGATTCAATTGGAGAATGTTTATCTAATGCATACAGATTTGTGACAGTATTTCATATCCCTGCAAATACACAAATATTTGAAGGAGGGGTTTTTTAAGTTTTTTTTTTTTTTTTTGAGAATGACAGACTGACTTCAGGTTTCACAGCTGAGTCTTTTACTGCTGCAATTTTCAACCTGAGTATTCTGAAATCTGGAATTTAGAACCTATGTCAAAATTCAGGGCCACTGACAGTGACAAGGAGAACACCAGAGATTCTCATTTTTGGACTCAAAGTGCTTGCTGTATGTTTGAGTTGGCAAAATATGTTTTTAGGCTGAAAGCTTATTGTCCCAGCTGTCTGCACAGGGTGAGTCATTGCTTGAGAAGCTATAGTTGATGGGGACACACACAAAGTGCTCCTGAATCATTGTTAACTCCCCAGTACAATTTCTCACCCTTGTACTTTGTTCTTTTGTGTGTGCCAGGGTGAACTACTAACGGAGTATTTATCACATCCTGTTCTGAATCTTGAAAATAAAATGTGAGGCTTGATAGGTATTATTCTGAAAAGGTAGTTTGTATTCAGTGTCATCATGGAAAGGGTATCAGAAGAATACTATGTGCAACAAGAGTAAAGACAAAGACTGTTTCTATATAGTGTCTCATTATCCCAAAAATCCTGCAAGGCAGGATTGGCATCACATATTTTTAGAGGAGAAAAGTGATGCTTGGGGAGTTATAGTTGTTGGACCTTGTTATACAGAATTTAAGTATTAGGTTCAGAAGGGAAAATGGAGAGAAAGGGGGAGCCGTAATGCACCAAAACACACAGAGAGAGGAGGGGGGAGAGAAATTAAAGTTTACAAATAATGAAGAGATGGTGTGTGGCAAAGTGTGATGGAAGCCCATTGTCACTGGTATTTTTGAGGATGCAAAACCAAAGTCCTCTGACCTAGGCAGGTCTCCATATGTGTACACAGAAACCAGTTACAGCACTGGGTCTTTCTTGTCACTTCCCAGTAAGCTCTCTTGGAATTGCTGCATGTGGCTCCGACAATACATCAAGAATGTTTGAGCACCAGAATGTGGTGTGTCCTGCTCCTGTCCATCCTTCCCTTTGCCACTTTGCCACCTCCTCTGTGCCACACACAATATACACACAACATTCACATGACCAGAAATCGAGTGATTATTTCTAATTCATTGTTATCTAGTTCATATGCACAACAGTTGCTTAATTTTGGTGGTAATTTTCAGAAAATATTGTCTGTCTCTCTCAGTGAAATAGCCTGTCCAGATGCCCCCTTAAAAAAAAATCCTGAATTTGGAAAAAACTCAAAATATCTCGAAAGGAAAGTACTGAGAAATAACTAGGGCTGTCAGTTTCATTCAACTGTCAGTTCTCCAAAGATTTCAGGGCTTAAAATGTTAAAAGTGCCAGATGCTATTATCTGTTATTCATGTTATCATTATGTTCTGGTCTTTCCTGAAATCAATATAAACTTCCATCTGTACATTAAAGAATTTCATTGCATACACATACTTGAAACACACATGTACATACCATGTTCTCTCTTACACATCTTGCATGGGATAAAATTATTATTTCCAAAGTGATACTTTAAATTTTGGTTAAAAAAAATCTCATAAATGCTATCAATGATTTTACACGGGGTGCTCTTTAGGAATCCATCCAGTATAAAGTGTTTTTGTAACAGAACTAATCTAAGAATTCTTTTAGTGATGGCCACATGTATTTGAATATATACTCTCTGCAAGTTTCTTGTGGTAGAATGTGAAGCAAAGAAAAGTGAAAAAAGATGGTTATTTTACAAATCAGTTGCATACATGAGAACCTAGAGGTTTTTTTAAGTGATATAATATTTAAAAGGTCATCACCAATAAAAAAATATATTTTTAAAACATTGTCACATATTATTATATCAGATTAAATACCATTCATGATAGTCAGGCACAGTAGCATATGCCTGTGATCCCAGCTACTCAGGAGACTGAGGCAGTTTGTGAGTTTGAGACCAGTCTGGGCAACTTAGTGATACCCTGTCCCAAAATAAAAAATAAAAATCATTGGTGAAATAGCTCAGTGGTAGAACTGCCCTGGATTCAATCCCCAGTACTGGGGCAGGGGTGTGGGGGATATATATGTATGTGTGTTTGCATATATATGTTTGTGTGTGTGTGTGTGTGTGTATGTGTGAGTGTGAATGCCTTTTAGTCAAATATAATTCACACAATTTTGTAATTGATCATTTCTTTCAAAATCCTCCCCCTTCTCTTGCCTTCCATAATGTACAAATTCAGCCATCAAACAACAATGGAAACATTCATATGTTCCTGTGTAAATGTACAAGGCTCCTCAGACTTTGTTCTGAACTCTATCATAAAGAAAATAATGAAATAATACTGTTTACTTAGTGCCATTTTTGTTAAAACGTCAGCATCTAAACAGAAAAACAAAGGTTCTTCCACACTGAGACAATATTGACCTTAGCTTTAGCTTTTGCCTCTATTTTCAAAAAGCCAAGACATTTCTAAATTAGAGTGGAAATTACTACCCAAACTGAATCAGATTGTCCCAAATGGAGTGGATGGGGGTGGGGGAGGCTGATCAGGTTTAGCCTTTAAAATTAGGAATTGCTTTACTTTAGTCTTTTACACTGTAAAACTTTAAAAAGATGATCTTCAATCATGTGTCTTGCTGAGAATTCCATGGAGGTGACTTTAAAATAGCACTTGTATTTATACCAAATAGATAACTATTTTGAAACATACACTTCTTTTGACTTTTGAATGTATATTTCCATCAGCTAGTATGTTTTTAAATTGTGAGATAAAAAATTATTTTAAATCTTTTTTTAATTTATTTTTTAGTTGTAGACAGAGACAATACCTTTATTTTATTTTATTTTATTTTTTCTTCATGTGGTGCCGGGGATTGAAACCAGTGCCTCATGCAAGCTAGCAAGCGCTCTACCACTAAGCCATAACCCTGGTCCTATTTTAAATCTTTAGAAAATATTATTTTTATTTTTAAATACCCTCTCATTATTTTAAAATTATTTCTGCCTAATAAATCTTCACTTTTTATCAATATTCTGTGTTATTCCAGTGACTAAATGTTTCAGGGGGAAAATGGTAGAAATTTTCTTAAATACCTGGGGAAAAAGCTAAAGTAATAAAATACACAGAACATGCTAAAGATAAAACAGTGATATTGTCTGTTAATAGTATAATTGTACATGGTATCCAATGGATAGTGAGCACTTCATTTGTTACCATTCCATACATTTGTAGTCTATTGGTCCAGTTAGTTTTTTTCATCTGTAGTTTCTTCTTTCAATGTGTAATTTGGATATAAACTTTACAAAATCAGTTAGTATTTTATTTTTCAGTAAATTAGCGTGTAAATGACAGAAATTGAACCAAACCACGTTCTTTTAATTTGATCTAATAATAATATCACTTGAAATAGTTATCAGTGTATTTAGTACAGCATACTCATGTGTAAAATAATTGAACTGTTACCAAGTAAAGAATGAAGAATTTACATTTGCCTTGATAATGATATCAGTGTTCAGAATTTTTCATTGGTTTAAAAAATTCAGGAATTTTTGTTTTTCCATTGCTTTTGAATGTAGATTCAGAATCATTAAAATTATATTATGCTGCAGCATTTTTATATCCACTTAAATTAAATGAAATTTAGTTCAAACAATCCAAAATAGTTTACTTACCCTAAATAGATCAATACTTTCAAGATTTGGAATATGGTGTTCTATATTAGTTAACATGATTTTAATTTTAAATCCAGAAAGTATTATGTTTACTGGATATGAGCTTAATGATAAAAGTAAGCTAATTATGTGATTGAGGAAAACTGTCAGGAGTTTTCTGTGAGATAATATACCACTTGGTAAATGAATGATTTGGAAAGATTAGTGACTCTTATGGGATCAAGATCAATATTAAGCTTTAAAAAAAACCATGAAAATCAATAATATCCAACAAGAAATGCCATCCAATGATTAAAAGCATTACAAGATACTAAGTTAGCAAAAAAGAAAAGAAAAACAAGAAAGTGTTGTGAAAATAAAAGCAGTTATCCAGAAAAATGAAATTAAAAGGCTAAATACCATGGCCTCAGCTATTACAGATTTAAACACATAATTTAGATGTTAATTATTTGTATATTGGAATGAGCATTCTGTTAACCTAGACTCATATGTTTAAAACTCTGTGATTCATTTTTGCAATATTCCTTTCATCTTACTGCTGTTGTGACTGCTGTAAAGAATTATGCCTGTGTTCTCTAGAACTACTTATTGCACAGAAAAAAAAATTGAAACATACTAACAAATTCACTCAATTACAAGAAATGTCTCTATAATTGTATTTGCTAAGAACTTTCCAAAGGTATTCCCCAACAGTTATAATTTCTCTTCGCTTAGGGTAAAGGTCCCTAACAATCAAACATATCCTTTTATTCATTATCTTATTTATTTCTTATGCAAATTCTTTGTAGTATTTCAGCTAAATCTTTTCAGTCAAAACTTAAACCCAACTCCAATCACTTCAAATTGAGTTGTCATTTCAGGGTTCCCTAATGGCTTCGGTCTTTTTTTTTTCCTCCAGAAAGACCCAGTGAACTCTCTGGAAAATTTAGAGGAAAAAAAATTTCCTGGAGAGGTCTCTATACCAAGTCCTAAACCCAAGCTCCATGCAAGAGATCTCAAAAAAGAACTAATCACGTAAGTGGTATCCAGTGCTGTACCCTGTAAGATCCTGGAGTCGAGAGACTCTAGTTCATCATTTTTGGTAATAATATCTGGCTTGTCCATTTGACTTTAGGACTCCTAGGGCAGTTTCAACTAGTCGGTAGTTAAATGTTCAACCTATGCATTGAAATAAATATGCTACAAAAATGTACACGATGTGGTCCTATGCTAAGAGAACTGAAAATCTGTTGATCAAAAAATGAAATAATCTATGGGCTGGGGTTGTGTCTCAGTGGTAGAGTGCTTGCCTAGCACATGAGAGGCCCTGGGTTTGATCCTCAGCACCACATAAAAATAAATAAATAAAGATGATATTGTGTCCAACTAAAAAATAAATGTCTAAAAAAATGAAATAATCTAGAACAAGTAGAAATGCAGATATTTCGGTTTGAAGTTCCCAACTTGAGGTCCATTGACTCCAGAATGTCTAAGGCTTGGCTTAGGAAATGTGCTAAGCTTGTAACATTTGAATCAAATGTGACTTGGGTAAAGGAGTGAATGATTTTCCTTGCATACTCTGAGGAGTGTTTTGACTTTAAAAAAAAAAAAAAAAAAGGATTTCAAGATCAATTACCCTGATTTGATCATTATACAATGTAATACATGTATCCAAGCACACATCATACCCCCTAAATATGTACCATTTTCAAGTATCAATTAAAAATAAACATAAAAGAAATACAGACAGAAGTACCAAAAGCAGTACTAGTAAATGAATGAAACGCAGGAAACTATTTTTCATATATAAATGATTAAATACTAATCAACTATGCTCATACATAAATACATTTATAGCTGCCAGTTAATGAGAGTTTCCAGAGAACAGTAACTTTTCCACTTAGGCACCAAGTGCTTATAATCCCTGCTCTGTATCTCTCTGCATAAAATACTTAAATTTGTCCATTAAAAGTAAATTTAAAAACTTCTGACCCAGGAGACTCTCCACCTGGGCGCTCTCTCTTTTTTCTTTTACAGCTGAACTCAAGAAAGTTGTCAATAGTGTGTGACTCAGTTTCCCTCTTGAATCTTTTCCAGACAGGCTTTTATTTCATTGTTCCTGTAAAGCCACCATAAGGTCACCATTCTTGTTACATTCTGCAGGAAGCCCCTCCCATTTGGATGTCCTGATTCTCCTGTTCGACCATCTCTAACTGTGACTTCCTGATTCACATCCTGCAGCAGGGAGCTCTGTCTTCTCCCTTCCCCTCCCACTTCCCTCCAGCACACCAAGACAGCACCTGCCCCAGGTCCTTGCAGTTGCTGTTCTTTTTCCCAGAACTCTGTCCCCAGGGCTTCTGTAGTTCTCAACCTCTGCTCCCTCAGAGATCTTTTTGCTACAGCAGTTCCTTACCTTCCAGTCTTGACATGTCTGCCCAGTTTTCTAGATCTTTTCTTTATCAGAAGCATTTCTCACCATCTGACATATGCATTTCCTTTCACCTCTACTCTCTAGTGTCTGTCTCCTCGCCAAGAATAAGGCCCAGAGGGCACAGGTGCTATTCCTCAAGTTTTTGTTCCCTGCTTGGAATCATAACTGTGCATAATATATACTTTGCTGCCTCTTATTCCCCAGCTACATGCACAGTGACCTGGGAACACATCTCAAATGTTGGTGCCAAGTACAGAGACTTTGTACTTACTAGGCATCCGATGGGATTATTCCCAGTCCAGCATCAGTTTGCTGTGTCAACATGTGAATGGCTTTTACATAAGTTCAGAATGTGCATTATTTAAGGATTTCACAGGCTCAAATATTATGTTCTTGTATGAGTTCAATATTCTGACACTTGGGGGTAGACACATAATGGATGGTATCAAACATATAGTAACTTAGATTCCATCAAACACTGTTTCTTTCCAAGAGACCACTTGGGTGAGCCGTCCGCTTATTCCCACATGGACCTACCTATCTGAGCTTGCTTATCTTTGGATGGATTTTCTTTCTACACAGTATTTTTTAATATCTTCAAAAAGGACAAATTTTTATTTTTTGAGGATGGATTGTTGGAAATTGCTGGAAGTCATTGCAAACTTAATGTCATGCAAAATATTTTTTGTAATCTGCACTACTCAAGACACAAATATATAAACAAAGCTAAATAAAAAACAGGAAACATCCCAAAGATTTTGAACAAGTTTTGAATGAACTTTTTGGCATATTCATGAATTCCTAGGAAATTAACTCTCTCAGAGACCATACAGGACACATATTTCACAGGCAGGAAGAGTGTTTTGAAGGATGTCATATATATATGACATTTTATATATATATATATATATATATATATATATATATATATATATATATATATATATATTAGTATTAGTATGTTTTATGAAAATCTTGCTACTTACAGTGTCACCCTACCTTATTATGTTTAACTTTGTTTCTAACATTAAATTAATTATACTTTAGAATTTTTTATTATATCAACTATTTTTGAATTTGTGTAGAGCTTGAATGATACTCACTAAGGGAATTAACTAGTTATCTGCCTTTAATTTTGATATTTTCATGTGCAAACCTTCCCAGAATATATCATCCAGTGGTTATTGGCATATGTTATCATGTAAGATTTTTCACCATAGATTTGGAATTAAATCTAGCTATCAAAATCCTAAACAGAAACATTTTCCACTATAATGTTGCCACTTATAATTTCTTTATTTTTTGACATTTATATACCACCAAACATTTTCTACAAAAATTATCAGTTAATTAAATGCATATCTTATTACTTTGTTTCATAGGTAATGTACATGTAATTAGTCTAAAAATAATTGTGACTTCTTTCCCTTTTTTTTTTACTACTTTTTTTAGTTGTAGTTGGACACAACACCTTTATTTTATTTACTTATTTTTATGTGGTGCTGAGGATGAAACCCAGTGCTTTGTGCTAGGTGAGCACTCTACCTCTGAGCCACAACCCCAACCCCTACCTCTTTGCCTTTTGGGCAATGTTAATGTAATTGAAAAAAATAAAATTAAAAATAAAATAAATGCAATGCTGCTGTAGAACACTAGGTGGCGATGAATTCTGAAGTGGAGAGTAAACAAATGAAACAGATCTACCTTCTCAGGATTCCAGATGGATAATGCTCAGAAAAGAGTTGTGGATGAGATGAAGAGCACTAGCAAATAATAATAATAATAATAATAATCAATAATAATAATATTCCTGTTAATTTATCTTTTACTTTTTTACATGTGTTTATTTTAACTTTCTTATATCCTATCCAGGAAAAGGGGAGAGTTAGTTTACTCAGCTTGAATCAAGCTCTGAAAGCCAGACATCCCTTTGAGAGTTCTACTGATTGTAGAGTCTTTAGATTACCTGAAAATTATTGGAAAGTACCACTTGGTGGGGGGGGGGAATACTTAGAAAATAATAATTCAGAAAATATTGGAATGTTAAAATCAATCTGTCCCAAAATGTGCCTTCAAAGATTAAATTCTTGGGGCTGGGGTTGTGACTCAGTGGTAGAGCGCTCATCTAGCACTTGCGAGGCCCTGGGTTTGATCCTCAGCACCACATAAAAATAAAATAAACAAAATAAAGGTTTTTTTTTTAAAAAAAAAAAAAGAAACTAAAATGGAAAAATAAAACTTAAAAAAAGGTTAAATTCTTATTCAGAATGTATAGGTAAGACTTCACTCTGGGCAGGATGTCAGAGAAAATAAGATGTACAAATGATGTAATTTATTTTTTTCTTCTGATTCTTAACACTGCCACAAATAGTGCTAAGCAGATGGGGTCAATCTGCTTCCTCTGAACAAGTGACTCTTCAACAGCATCAGAGGAAATTAAATGACTGAAAAACCAAGGAACCTACTAATCGTGGAAGGAAAACTTCTAAAGATAACTAACTTCTTGCACTATTTTTTTAAACACACACAAAAATCCCAAGACACGATCTGAGTTAGTGAAGTATAGGGGCTTCCATTACAGTGGAGCACCTTTGGCAGATGTCCCGAGAGTATATTCTTGGGCTAGTCATGAATTAGGGATCGTCTTTATTGAGTTACAGCTTTGGGTGAAATTGCTCACAAGCTTTGCCAACTAAACTGTTCCTGTACTGTCAGCAACTTCCCCATCTAAAATATCCACTTATTTTCCAGTGAAAGGTTTTCTTCTTTTGCTGTCAGTGTTTATGAAGTTATTAGGTTGCCTAGTTTTAAAAACTTACAAAAATTCCTTTCTGGAATCTATCATATAATTGGTGCCAGTATTCTTAAAATCTGTAGTCATAATAAAGCATGGATTTATAATGTTCATTTTTATAGAATTTATATTTTCAAAGAAATAGAACACTAATTGTTGCTGACTTACTAAATCACCAAGATATACATGTTAGTGTCATGTTCTTACATCATTTGAATCAGAGAATTGAATATGATGTTGGACACTGATAACTAAAAAAGTAATTCAGCATGCTCTGTTTTTAGTGTACTGGTTCTTATATAAAAGCCAATATAAATCCTTATTTCACTATTTTCTGCTTGTGCCCTATACAATGTTAACTTATCTTGAAGGGAAAAGCTGCTTGGTAATCTATCAGGTAGAGTAAATGACTCTGTGAAATGCACTTGACTCCAATGATGTGTTTTTCTGTTGACCCAGCTGTCCAACACCAGGATGTGATGGAAGTGGCCATGTCACAGGAAACTATGCGTCTCATCGCAGGTACCCAACAACCTCCTGCACAGTCAGGCTTTCCTCATCTTACTCTGTTGCAATTACTTATCCTCATCTGTTCTAGCAAGATATCATTTGGATCAGGAAGTGGAGACTGAGTTAGTTAGGTTTGGGTTTATTTTTGTTTTTCAGAAATAAAATTATGACATATAGGAATCATGATTCTCGGCAAAAAAAAAAAAAAAAAATCTAGTGTAAGTGACAGAACCAGAGTTAGGGCTCATGTCCAGCTTTGGTCCTGTCTAAATCTAAGTGAAGGCAACAGAATGGCTGGAGTGGATCTGCCGAAGCAGTACCTTTGATTCTGGGCAGATAATAACTCAGGACTGTGGAGAGATTAACAGTGCAAAAAGCTTTGTTGGAACTTTCTGTTTACCTTCTTACTGACATGATTTGCTTTCTTTTTGAGCACTAGTTTAAAACTTTCAGACATCATGACTTGGTGCTGCAATAAGAAAGAACTTTGTAATCATTGTACCATGGAATTCCAGAACTGGGGAGTCTCATTGGATTAAAGCCCTTCATTTGATAATAGCAAATCTGAGTTTATGAGAAATAATTGAAATGCCAACAAACCCAGACTGTAATAGCAAAGCCAGATTCAAAGTTTTGTTTGTTTGTTTTCCCAATCTTTAGTCACCAGTAATTTAACATATGTTACAAACCCAGGATGCTCTTTGAATCAGGTTTGTGTATATCAGTGTTGTGTATAAATATATATATATATTTTTTTCTTTCTCCTCTGCAGTGTTTCTGGATGTCCGTTAGCAGATAAGACTCTTAAGTCCCTCATGGCTGCCAACTCTCAGGAGCTTAAGTAAGTGTCAGGAGGCATGACCTCTTTGCCCATTGGCTCTCCTCATTCTCTGTCAATGTAACCAATAAGGAGTAAATTTTACCTAACTTAATGATAAAAAAAAAAAACACTTTTTCACCAAAAAAGTTGAAATAATATTAAAAAGTTACTATCATTTAATTTGCTTGCTTCGAGGGCATTTTATTTTATAATAGCTTTTAAAGGAATGATGTAACTATGCAACACAATACTTCTTTTTCTTTTCTTTTGTCTTTATTCTTTTTTTTTTTCAGTACTGGGGATTGAACCCAGGAGTGCTCTACCACTGACTTACATCTCCAGTGTTTCTTATTTTTTATTTTGAGCAGAGGTTGGTCTTGAACTTGCAAACCTCCTGTCTCAGTCTCCTGAATTACTGGGATTACAGGTGTGCACCACCATGCCCAGAAAACTCTAGTTGTTAATTTCAGAATTTATTAAGTCAGACTTATGAAGGTGTGGCAAAGCATTTATATCATCTAATTTTAAGAAAATTACACATTTTACCTTTTGGTCATTTAAAATCATGCAACAGCCTTTCATTTTTGGTTGATAAACACATTTTTGGCTGATTTCTACGTCATCTTTAAGATCTCAAAGTCACTTGTGTATTTATATTTACTTATTGATTTTATTCTTTCTATTTTTATCTTCTTTATTCAAAATTTATCATTTGTCTATTTTCATATTGTTTTATTACATATGTAATAATAAAAAGTGTAGTTCATCTTATGTCCTTGATAATGAACCTGTATAAAAATTTGAAGTTTTATTAACAGAAATAGTAAAGAAAACTATGAAGTATACAACAATTCTCATTTTCAAAGTGTTAAGAACAATTTGTTGTGCCAGGACAGATTCTAGAAATCATTTTATTGACTTCGTTTTTCTAGACTAAACTAGAAGAATGTTCAGCAGAGATTCATAACAGATTGAAAAGTAAGATGCACTAGAATATTTTAATCACTTCTACATTTTCCACATCTTAATTATTGCTATCAGTTCTCTTAAGTATTTTCTCTAAACAGTATTTCAAAAACACATTGGTAATACATTGAAAGCATGTAGATTGAGAGATTCCATGGCACTGTGCAGTATTTTCATTTTTTATGCAGGCATCTAATAAATACTATGAATGGTTTTTCCATATAAGATATTTCATTGACCTCTTGTTTAGATATTCAAGGAAAAGCTCCCCAAAAAGATTATTTGGCACTGGTATTTTCATAATTGCTCTATGCTAATAAAGCAATATTTCACAAAAATGTTAATAGAAAAAGTTAAGCATGCAAACCTTTTTTACAATAGAGAGTACATATTATCGCTTTGAGTGGTTAATTAAAGACTTGTGCAGGTGTTTCCCGTTAGCTGGAAGAGATGTGTGGTGATATTTTAAAATTTTATTGCAAAATAAAAAAGTATTTATTCCCTATTTAGAAATTAATATGTTTCATGAAAGTTCATTGGGAAACAATTTAAGAAAGGAAATAGTATTCACAGGTTTCTTTGGATTATCACTTTTTCTCAAATGGAACTCTTGCTTGGGTGGAGATCTGAACCATAGGGACCAAAAATGTGAAATAATACATAAAGATAATCTGTATAAAAACTTTCAGAAAAGCAAATATTTTGTGATGGTCTGTTTTCATTTCTATTGGGGATTTTTTTAAAGCAACATAAAGATGAAAATCTGTATTTATTCTAGTGTATTTTGAAACTGATTTCTAATCAGCGTTTCAAGTAGAAATAGATTCCCTTTCCTCTTTCACCCTTCTCCTTCCTCAGTGGTTGATTGCTGATAATAGATAATAGTGAACTTGGGTGAGGCAAGACGGAGCAGCAGGTGCAGGTTATGTACGTTCTCTGGTTATAATATTAATGCTCCAAGTCTCTGGAGTTCACATATACCACTGTTGTTCATGTGGAATTAGTGGGTTATCATGGCAGGACAGGATGTCAGAGAAAATAAATTATTCATAAAACCAATCTGGAAAATTGTTCTTCTTACATGAAAGATGAGAACTTTGCATGGTGTAGACAGAAGCCCAGCAGTAAGTTATGGGCTCACATTCAAGTTCTTCTCAATATAAGATTTAAAAAAAGAAAACCAAATGTACAATAACTAACAGCTAATGCCATTGTCTGCCCTGCATCATTCACTAGTTACGTCTTAACTTTTTCTTTATAAATGAATCCTTAGCCAAAAGCTATTTAAGCAAAAAGAATCCCACCAAAAGCAGCTCTTTATATTCAATTCTATTGAATGTGTCACAATCCTCCTCCCACCCCTAACCTGGGGACCATGCTCTACTCCTGTGTTTCCAGGTGTCCAACTCCAGGCTGTGATGGGTCCGGGCATGTGACTGGAAACTATGCTTCCCACAGAAGGTAGGACTGATTCCTTTCTGAGAGGGGGGCACAGGTGTCCACAGTAGTACTGAGAACCACTTATTTGTGTGTTGTTCTTTGTTGGTTGTGTATTGTAGCTTGTCCGGCTGTCCTCGTGCAAGAAAAGGGGGCGTCAAAATGACTCCTACCAAGGAAGAAAAAGAAGACCCTGAACTTAAGTAAGTGCAATGGTGGCAGCATTGGGGTCAGCTGTGTCTTATTGGCCAATTGGAGGAGCCTTGGTTGGGATGCAGTTGAGCATCAACTGAATCCTGGGGAAGTCACACACTGCTGAGCACCAGGACTACTGAAGCAAGAGTCAGATTGTTTGGAGGTTTAAGAACATTTTCCCATTCAGAACTAAATTTCCATATTTCTTTGACAATGCAAAAGAAAAGATGGGAGATTTGTACTTTTCCCAGTTGTTCTAAAGGAAAGCTGCATTGTGGAAGTTCTCTAGAATGACAAATCCAGCCATATTTTCTCCTGAGATTTCTGTTTTGTGTAAGGCTAAATTATATCTAAGTTGAATTTTCTCCTCTAAGAAATATGCTAGCAGGTCTTGGGCAATACAGTGTAGTTATAGACATTTAAACTGCTTTCTCTACAAGAGTTCTAAATACAATATTTAAACATTTGCAAATCAAAATTCCAGTGTCAGGAGCAATGTGCTATGTATCATTATCAAAGCAGTAAACACTTTATACCCTTGATCTTTGTTCAGAAGCCATATAACTTAGTGCTTATGTGGTTAGCTCTAGCACTAAAAAGTACAGCCTTGAATTTGGCTCCATTTCTTCTAAAATAGGTGAAGAGTCAGCTAAGTTCTATAAGCCTCATTTTCCCCACCGACAAAATGGGATAATAACACTCTCTATCCTGTGGGTTTGCAGTGAATATTAAAAGAGATAATGCATGGAAATTGCTTAGAACAGAGCCTGTGGACTATTACTACTAATATGATGCTGTTTGCTACTGGTGGTGGCCTTTTTTTAAAGGTCTGTAATTTCATGAATTTCCTCCAGGATGGTATGGAACTGTTTCTGCCTTTTCCCCAGCTGGTAATGTCTCTCTTGTGTCTCTCTAGATGTCCTGTAATAGGGTGTGACGGCCAAGGTCACATATCAGGTAAATACACATCACACCGCACAGCTTCTGGCTGTCCCCTGGCTGCCAAGAGACAGAAGGAGAATCCTCTCAACGGGGCCCCTCTCTCCTGGAAACTGAACAAGCAAGAGCTGCCCCATTGTCCCCTGCCAGGTTGCAATGGGCTGGGCCATGTAAATAATGTTTTTGTCACCCACAGAAGGTAACATTTGTTTCCTGCCTTTTTGTTTTGTTGTTACTGTGATTGGTTGTCATCTGAGTTGCTGGGGGTGGGGGTGGCAGCTTCCCTTCTAAATGTCATTAATTACAGCACTTAATTAATTACATCATAACATTATCATGCTAAATAGATATTTGACTAGTCTGAAGAATAAAAAATGTTATTTTCTATATTTCTGAAAATTCACTATAGTTTTCGAGTGCCCTAGAAACTGTGCACTTGTGTGGTTTTTTTTTTTTTTGTATTCTAAAATATCACATATGCTGCTATTTTAAAATTGTGCAGTCTTTTAATGGTTCACTTCAGTTCCAAGTGGTGATATCTACTCTATTATATTATATAATTGTAAACTTTCACTTTACATATTCACACCATTCCCTCCCTCTCATGCATTGGCTCAATTTCAGGCCAAAATTGTAGTTATTTTGCTGCTAGGAAGATGTGACTCATCTACAGCAGCCAGAAAGAAAATGGCTTAGCAACTGCTAAGTGTACAACAGGATGAAGGGAGATTTAGAAAACCCTTTTATAGTTTCACAATGACTTAATTCCTTTATCACCAAGTGTCGTTTATTTCGACTGAGCCCTTTGTTGGACAAGAACTATCTTAGTCCAGCTTTTGGTTTGCTTTCTACTTAGAGAAAAAAAGCTAGAAGATTTATGATCTATTTTTCCAATCAATGAGTAATGAGTTCCCTTTCTAGTCTTGTGGACCACTGTGCACAATGCTGACTTCAAAACCAGTGAAGGTTCAGGAAATCTTTGATGCTTTGTTTATAAGCAGTGTACAAATTGAGCAAAGTTGGAGCATCTTGACCCTGCTCAGTTTTGGGATGTAGATCAAAGGCATCAGAAAATGAAGCCTTCCAGAAAGTACTTATTTCAAGGTTGTCATTGAAACTTGCTTACTGAGAAAACTTGAATTTCTGTGGGTTTTTTGTTTCTTGTTTTGTTGATATCTTTCAGTTGCAGACTAAAATCTTCCATAGCTCACCTTGTTTTATTCTGAGTTTGGATCATTGTTGTGTAGTCAGGAACAACTGTTACAAATCAAGTGTGCCAGTAATTGTGTTACCTTCCATTTTGCTTTAAGAAGGTAGATGAAGATAAAGCTTACATTGCCTTAATATGCCTTCATAGAATTTCAAATTAGGCCAAAGCTATATAAGCCCTTTTTTTTTTCCCTTCCTTTCCAATATGGAGTTCCAAACCCTGAAAGTTATACGACAGACCTGCCAAACTCCATCTTCAAAAGATAAAGGACTTATAAAGTATTTTTTCTGCCCAATTCTTTAAAATATTTTCACTATCTCAGAAGACACAGAATAAATATCAAGTGGCATTTTTTAAACCTAAGCTTTGGGGCTGGGGATGTGGCTCAAGCGGTAGCGCGCCCGCCTGGCATGCGTGCGGCCCGGGTTCGATCCTCAGCACCACGTACAAACGAAGATGTTGTGTCCGCTGATAACTGAAAAATAAATATTGAAATTCTCTCTCTCTCCTCTCCCTCTCTCACTCTCTCTTTAAAAAAAAAATAAAAATAAAACCTGATAAAAATAAATAAATAAATAAACAAACCTAAGCTTCACTTCCATAACCATATGCTTTGGTTCTAAGTCATGTAATTATGGATGGACACTTCACTAACATTTTTACAACACTGTATCCCACCCTGGAAATTTACTACAAGTTATCTAAACAAAACTGATCCTTTAGGGGAGAATGTCAGAGGACCTCATGTTACTACCCGTTATGTTACAAACAGACGTACTACAAGCACCTCTAAATATGCAGTCTACCAACTAAATAGTCATCCCTTTTATGATCATTTTCTCAGAACACAACATGTAACAATAAAACAAGACAAACTTGCATAACTCTCCAGAAAAAGAAATAATAAGAAAGCGTATATCAATCATGATTGACAGTGAGAAGCTTCCGGAATGGAAATTTGTGGTTCTGCATTCAGTTTGTGTCTCTCATTCTTATCCCTTGTCAAACAGTTTATCTTTTATCAAATTTGAACAAACCACATAATCCTCACTTTATATATAATGTTACCGGTACTATTTATTATTATATTTTCATATATCAATATTTTTCATATTTCATAGAATCTTTTTTTTTAAGAGAGAGTGAGAGAGGAGAGAGAGAGAGAGAATTTTCAATATTTATTTTTTAGTTCTCGGCAGACACAACATCTTTGTTGGTATGTGGTGCTGAGGATCGAACCCCGGGCCGCACGCATGCCAGGCGAGCGCGCTACCGCTTGAGCCACATCCCCAGCCCCTCATAGAATCTTAATGTAGAATAATTTACTATTCTTTAAATATACAAGTGATTTGCATTTATGAAGGGCTTTGCCCCAGAAATATTTTCTTCTGCTTTTCATAGTGTTGCAAATTTTAGTTCAAAAATAATTGTTTCATAGATGAATTGTAACCACATTTCTATGGATGAAAAAATATTTTAAATGATTAGTTAGAATCATTTTTATTTTGATCTAAAAACTGTACAAAGACACAACAAAACTGGAAAAGAATTAATGGCTGCTTGGAACAATGAAATTATCTGATCAGAAACGATGGCAACAGGTTTTGTTCAATGTTGTCATTATCGTATTGGTGCAATTTAAATAAAACAGGTGACATTAAAGGAAAGGAGTGTCACCGAGGAGGGCGACTGTTCAATGGGAAGGGTCATACACACTGCCACAGAATAACAGACCACCCTGCCAGGACTGCATCTGAATGCACTTGCTGTGCCTCCCTTTATTCTCCTTTCAGGGTAGAGACTTTTAAAATGAAAAAATAATGTTGCAACAGTTAAAGGAAAAAAAATCAGAAACTTTCCCACAACCAGATTGAATCTGCGATAGGAAAGGGGAAAGTTATGTTTGACTTTTGTTCATTTGAGTCATTCTGTAAAGATCAGACTGTACTTCCTATAAAAACAAGAACTAGATTCTGCTTTAGTTTTCATGGAATTTTGATCAGTTAGAAACCATCATCATTCATAATCCATATGTACAATTTTCTGTTTATGGAAAATAAAGTAGCTACCACTACATCAGGGCACTCACGTGAGTGCAGCACAGAACAAAAGGAATTAAATCACTATTATGTAGCAACAATTACTATTTTTACTTTGATTTAAAGGGAAAAAAAAACCAAAATATTTTCCAGGTCTGGGGGTAAATCTCCAGAGGTAGGGTGCTTGCCTGGTTTGCAGGAAGCCCTGAGACCCATCCCTGGCACTGCCAAAAAAAAGCCACTCTTGAATGCCTTTTGCCTTTGCTCTAATAGGTATTTATTGGTTACTTTGTACAAAGAGACTGTGAGCTGTGATATAATTAGTGGGCAGGCCAAAATATCAATAGTAAAAAAAATTAATGATTTAAGTAAATCAAACATCAATAGTAGGTATGAGTAAAACTCTTTAATTTTTATAAGAAATAATATGTCTTTCACACATTAGTATAAATTCTGTTTTCTCAGCTTATCTGGATGTCCTCTCAATGCACAAGCTATCAAAAAGGGCAAGGTCTCTGAAGAACTAATGACCATCAAACTCAAAGCCACCGGGGGTAAGTCACCATCTCCACTGAGGTCTAAATGATAGCCCTCAAGAGGTTCAGCATGTTGGTATGTGCAATATGCAAAGTATAATTTTAAAATATGAAAAGAATGGTCAAATTTGGGTAAAACTAGAACTGAGCAACAATTACTTAGCTTCTCCCTTACTTCATTTACTTATTAATTTACCTTTTCCTGTGCTGGGCATGGAGTCTGGGGCCCCACACCTGCTGGGCAAGTGCTCTCTCATTGAGCCACACCCCGCCTCTTTTTTACTTTCTAAAAAAGATCTACAACAGAGAAAGTCAGGAAATGGTATCCAGTGGATGGACAGGCACACACAGAAGTTGTGACCTTCGGCTTCATAATGAGGTGCCTCTCTCCCTCTCTCTTAGTGTGTGTGTGTGTGTGTGTGTGTGTGTGTGTGTGTGTGTGTGTGTGTTTTCCTGCTTGTCTCCTGTCAATTTTCAGGAAACACAATGTCTAGAGTCTGTATTTGCTTAAATGTTGTTCCTCTCTACTCAAAATATTTTTACAGTGATTCTGAATGACTTAGACTTAACATCTGTATCTCTATTTCCATTTCCCTACATATTTCCCAAGTGTCAATTACTCATCAAAATTAAAACATATAGTTCCTTAGTTCTAATTTGGATCTTCCCTTTTTTCTCTGGCCCTTGAGCGCTTTTTTAAGATTTCTTACCAGCACTGTCTCAGGTCTGCAGTACTTTCCATCATAGATCTTTCTAAGGCATCTGAGGAATGATGGCAAGGCAATTATTTTGCTTCAGAGATTTTATTTGGTAGTGTCTTTGGCATGTGATTAGAATTGAGCTGGAGACTCTCTCTCTCTCTCTCTCTCTCTCT